GCACGTTTTCTCGAAGCTTGTAAGACGCAAACTTAACGACTATTGGGCGACATTTTCCCGCGACAAAGGCGCCGAGTCTATGAGCCCGAGCTATGCCGTCTTCAGCAATCTGCATGTTAGCTTCCCGATGGAGCACCTCCCGTACTTTCTCTTGGGAGAGGGCCCATGTCTCAGATGGAGTGTCAACGATTCCATGGAAAATTAAGTTGTCCCGTCTCGACCTGTCCTCCATTTCATCCACTCGGGCGCGTAGGAGCGTATTTTCTTTCTTTGTGTCATTGGCGATCAGCTGTGCTACCCGCAGTTCATTCTGCCACTCGTCGGACATTAAGGCCTTGTTTTCAACCACAGTTAGTCTATTGTTTACTTCAACGAGTTGTTTTTCAATCGATTGTTGGTTGCTTTTTATCTCGTTAACGGATGCCATAAGACCATTCTGGCCCTCCTCAAACTTAAGGGTACGAGCATTCACTTCATGAAGAAGCTTCAGCATTTCGTCAAGCTGCTTGCCTTGGCTCTCAGTCCTAGGTCCCGGGTTGGACTCAATATCCCCGCTCAAAAGAAGAATCAAAGAACACAATGCATCAACACAGTCGGAAACACAAAGACACAATGCTTCCGGGCGAGGCAGCACTACGAGACACAAATAGTCGCTTTTCACTTTCGAATAGTAATTACGACTACCCACCTGCAGTATGAAAACGACAGGATTAGACGACGTCCGCATGGTTGAAAAGCTGCCTCGCCCACTGACGAATTCCGCGCCAAGCAGGGGGGCGGTTTGTGAAGATTCCGATGATGACGATGTCGATCCGGTGGCACGATGAAACGTAGGCGAAACCAGAAGAAATTCTTGGTGAGGCACGGAATGTCCACCGACTTCACTGGGGGCGGACACAATCTGCGTTTGCTGGTGTTGCTTGTATCCCTGTAATCCAGGCGGGCCGGTATAGTTCACTGACAGCGTGAACAAGGCGAAGATCTGCAGTATGAAAACGACAGGATTAGACGACGTCCGCATGGTTGAAAAGCTGCCTCGCCCACTGACGAATTCCGCGCCAAGCAGGGGGGCGGTTTGTGAAGATTCCGATGATGACGATGTCGATCCGGTGGCACGATGAAACGTAGGCGAAACCAGAAGAAATTCTTGGTGAGGCACGGAATGTCCACCGACTTCACTGGGGGCGGACACAATCTGCGTTTGCTGGTGTTGCTTGTATCCCTGTAATCCAGGCGGGCCGGTATAGTTCACTGACAGCGTGAACAAGGCGAAGATCTGCAGTATGAAAACGACAGGATTAGACGACGTCCGCATGGTTGAAAAGCTGCCTCGCCCACTTTGCAAACAAGGCAGAGTAATCAGGGAGGCTAAGAGTGGCATGCACAAGGTGTTTGCCGACACAACTTCAAGATGGCAGCCGGCATTTTTCTCATATACTCAGGTTCTCCAAGGAAGGGGCCCATACTATCGGCCCCTTCAGCTCTGTAGGAGCAGATCCTTAGTAAACTCTCAATTTCTGTCTTAGGGGTAGCTCCGATGAGCCTGCAAGTTCGACGAGAATTCTTTCGTACAACCAGCTTCCATCAGCCAGCAAGTAGACAAAGGATAGACCTCCACTGTAAAATAATTTGCAAGAGACACAGGAGTGGGGCCCCTGAGAATCAACTAAGCGCTCAAAACAGCAAAACCAGAAGTGCACAAAACTCTACAACTCTAGAGGCACTGAAAACACTGAAGGAACCAACACAAACCTTAGCTGTGGATGGAGAGAAGGTGCAGGGGGTTGACACACAGACGTCGGCACAAGGACAGGAAATCACAAACAGCTCAACACTCAACACAGATGTGGCAAAGAAGTGTTCAAGACAAAAGTTCACTCAAAACCAGTGTGGAAAGCACTGGTGCAACGCACGTAATTGAGGCTGGGGCATTTCAAAACAAAACTGTTATAACAAAAAAAAAAATAGGTCAGTCAGAAAAAAAAACAACCTCACCATGTCTCAAAGTAGCAGGAAACAACCGAAAGAGGACAGATTGGGCTCACTGTCAATATACGGCTGAAAAAAGTTGGGTTAAAAAAATTAGCACAGTTCTTTGGAGCTATCGGCCCATCCTGTGTTTGACTTTGGGAGAGTGATTACGATGAAACTGTTATAACAATGCCTACAACGAGAGATGCTGTGTCAATAGCGCCGATAATGAACGCTTAAATTTAAAGCTCAACAACTCCCCAGGCTGCTGTCACATGCTGTACCAATGCTGCACCGGAAGAAACATTACTAATTTCAAAACTTGGTTTCATTTCATCAAGCTCGTCCGTCAGCAACTTTATATACTTTGTTGATTGCTCACAAGTACGTCCTTGCGCAGACGTGACAAGTTTTAGTTCCCAAAACCCACGAAACATTTTGAAAAAAAAAAAAATAAAGCCGGTTGCAAAGTATTAAATCTGGTCAATGTTACCGAGTGGAAACTAGGGCATAAATGAGCTAGAGTACCACATTTACTCGAGTAATAGCCACACTGTTTATGAAGAAAAGCTGAGGGTTCGCTTTTCCGCGGAGCCTGCGGCTCGCCAATCACTGCGATCGGCAGCATGATTCCAGCAGTTTACAGGAACGAGATAACGTCCTCGCGTGAAGATACCATCTCTGAAGATTGCATTTGTATGGAGAATCGTGTTCTCCACCTGGTTATTCGCTATGTTATTGATGCGCAACGCAATGATTCGCTGTATATGTGTTCTGCGGGAAAGCAGACGCAAGGACCCTGTTCAAAAATAGTGCGGCTATTACTCGAGTAAATACGGTATTGACACTCCGTTCCTCTATTTTCTTGTGGGCGCCGCCCTTTTGGTGCCTTTTACAGAACGGGCACAGTTGGTGATCGTTACAAATAAAAAATGTGACTTCCCGAGCCTTAGATATGGCGTCGGGGAGCTCAGGCAATGTTGCTCTATGTCGTCACTGACTGTTTTAACTTTCCTAGAGGATGGAAAACCGTTTTTTTCTTTTTCTTTCAATTTCTAATAAAGCATTAGGCAACCATAATTTTAACCACCAAAATGGCTGTCGTGTCGATACTTTGAATCATAACCTATATAGTGACTCTAGTGGAGACATACCGTTGTGGACAAAAAGCAATGAGACCAGCTTGTAACACTTCAAAATGATGCGAGAAATATGTACAGACACCCCTGGGAAGACAAGAAAGGTTGCAAAAAACAAAAGGGTCTTGAGGCCCAAATGTATAGACCTTTTGCGAAGTTACCCAAGCACCAAGAAGCATGCTGCGAGTGCAGTTACACGCGCCGCACGTGCTGGCGTCTGCACCGGTAACTGTTCCAAAGAAAAAGTCTAAAACAAATGTTACATTGCACGTGCATTTGTCAATACCTCGTCCTACTTATTTCCTTCAAATATTTTATACAGATAAGGCGAGCACATACAGCATGCATACCTACGTTCCCAGCAATCTCTTTGGTGCTTCAATAATTTGGCGGAGGGTCTATTGGCTGATATGTTATCATGCAGCCGAAGGGTCATCCCTTACTGTGCTGAATGGGCTCCTACTTATTGGCTGCCCTGGGATCCAAGCAAGATGAGTTTCTTGTTTTCCAAATAATCTTGATCAATTAATTGATTTGTTCCCTTTTGACCCTTTGCCGATCTCAGGTTCTTTCTTCGAGACAAAACATACCATTGCTCGCTTTCTTAAAGGGCCACTAACACCCCAAACATTTTTCTTCTTCATATTGTTGCAAATGACTGGAAATTATCCTTTGACATCCTTGTCCACATTTGAAGTTTGGAAACTAGGGTATGTGAAGAAACAAAATTACTTCAGAAAGCTGAATTTGAAGTTTGCACAAGTAAACCTTGTAGATGGCAAAATGGTGCACTTCTTGCTTTTCTCGAAGGCTTCTAACCGGAAGTGTCGCTTAATTTTACCTCTTATCGATCGCGGGCGAGCACGCACACCAACACCCAGCTGCACGGCTCTTTCGCTCCACACCTGCCACGTCTCCTTTCTCCCTGTCCAAACGACGCGTCGCTTTTCAGTTCAAGCTCCTTTTTTTTTTAGCAGTGTTCCGTTTAGTCAGTCACGAACACCTTTTTAAAGAGAGTGGAAAGCGGAAAAAGACGTCAGCAAACTTTGGTGACCGACGTGAGGCGGGATGTTGCGTAGGTGCTACAGGAGGTGCTGCCCCATTACTGTTGAGTCTAAAAGTGCTGCGAAGTGAAGAGAAAGAGAAGCCAGGAGACGGCCAACGCTTTGCCACCAACTCCACCAAGCTATACTTCCTTCTCCATTTCTTTTTTTTTTTTTTGTGGTATAAGCAGAATTATGCTTTAGCAGTCGCAGCAAGAAACATATATTTGTTGAATGTCATTAATAATTGTTACAGACATGAAACTTGCAAAAGCTCTAAATTTATTAAAAAGTAATGCCTTTGCCAAGTACTGAAAACAACTTTAATTTCCTTGGGCTCAGCATTTCACTAATGTGGCGGAGTGTGAATTTCAGAAATATTTTGTGGGTAGAAAATTTTGCAATGGAAAGTGGTAGGTTATCTATTTTTCTATTTTTCACAATATTTTCTAAATTCGCGCATTTCGCGAAATTTGGGTTCTCGCAGAATTTAAGTCGCTTACAGTATGTCACCAAGAAATGAAGCGGGGAATATCCCAGCGGGGCTGGACGACGTGAACTTTTACAGGGTCGTTCGTGCGCTAGAAACTGTGCTTCTCGACACACTTTTCTCCTGGGTCATTTTAAGTCCCAAAACATTTGACACGACAAAAAAAAGTAACAATGTAGGTATCATCACTGGCCCCTTAAGTATCATTTTGATTCACCTCAACAAAACAAACCCAAACCGGCGGAAACTACAGAGCCCCAACACTCGGACCAGATTGGATTGTGGCGGCTTGATCCCTCGTGTCGGGCAACCACGGCGTAAAGAACCGGATCTAGCCGAAAGAGTCCCAACACTGACCTTGACGGGCACGTTGTTGTCCGACCGCAGCTTCCGCTGCCGGTCGCAGTATATCTTCCAGGTGTCCTCGTTGAAGCCGTAGTTGAAGTAGTCGGTGATGTCCGCGCCGGGCTTCCTCCAGGGTTTGTCCTCGAGCGACTCGATGTTGAACTCGTAGATGGACACCCCATTGAGGAGGGCCACCTCGTCCACGTCCAGGCCCTTCGTCTTGGCGCCCCCGGGCCCCACGCCCCCCCCGGGCCCCAGATTGCCCCCAAACGGGGCGCCCCGCTTGATGTTGAGGTTGACTGTCGGCGGGGGGCCGGGGTAGGCCGCGTACGGCGCCGACTTGATGTCTCGGATCGTGACCTGCGTTGATCGAAGGACGGCGTCATTACAGTCCTTGAGCTCATTTCACACAATAGAGTCTTTCTCCGAAGAGGGGATAAAACTTCACAGAGTTCCGAGGTCACGTGTGCCGCGTCACGGATGTTCGCTAATTTCCCGAGCCCGCAGGAAGCTGCGGAGAATCTGTGTCGGGCACGCAGAATATCCGTCGCCCAGTCGCAGTGACCGCCCTCCTCCCCTTTTGGGGGAAGGATTACGGCCAGCAGCACTAAGCTGTGGGGTGGCTTCCTTTTCTCTTTCCCTGCCTTTTGTTCGATGAGTCCCCAAAGGTCACAAACATGTTCATGAAAAAAAAGGCTCCGCCGAATGAACTAGTACATGAGACTCTGTCGTGCGAACGCTCGCTCGAATTTTCTGCACCACTTCCTCCTTCTCACGGCCTTTCCTCCTCGCAAATCTACGATGTACATGGTTTCCTCCAGGGATGAAGAACTTTCGTGCGAATGCACCATTAGCTTACCTGGTCTGGAATCTTTTCTGAACAGTTCTCTCTAGGGACAAATTCGAGTACCAGAGGCGCACTGCCGACGTCATGAATCCACCAATCGGATCGCCAGGAGAACCGAACAGCGAACGTGGGAAGCCGCCATGAAGGAAGTCGCCAATGTGTCTACTCTTACGCAGAAACCCACAAATCCATAGAAAAGTTACCCTTTTCCACATGCCCCCGAACCTTTTCGCACATGTCCCCAAACCCTTTTGTACATGCCCCCGAACATTTTTTTGAACGATTGGAAACACCATCTGTACTTGAGACCTAGGGGCCATGTTATGTCAGTACAATAGGAATGCATGTGATGGGTGCTACATCTGATTCAAAAACATTATCAAAATGTTTCTGAAATGCTCGCCATGTCAGGCTTGTCTGCTAGCTTTAACGATACCCCAGCAGTAAAACTGAAGTGTCGTACACATCTGGATATTCAGAAACGGAAGATGATTTTGATGAAGCGATAATTAATCCAACATAGTTAATATTCACCAGCTTGCTTGCACCGTTACGATATTTTCTTTGATAATTTCAGATATTCCGTCAGCTCGAGGTACGGTAGGAAACACCTCGGATTTAATTTCTTTGTATGGCACGACCCTTTCAACAATGATATACATACTAGAATAAGAAGGCATAAGTGCTCGACTCATAATGATGCCTTGATGCATGCCAAGCCCCGGTGAAACTGAGGGGGCATTTTACTGCAATGAAGAGCACCTATCCTGAAAGTTCAAACTTCACACAATTCGACTGCCTCTTCAGTGATGAAACAGCCTTACATCATCTTGTCGCTGCGCTTTCCCACGCATATATTGCCGATCCAAATTTTGTTTCGTCTGCAGCTTGTAACAAGCCTAGCAAGTACCGCATAAAACAAAGCAATGTCGTCGGTGCACGCTTTCAAGTGGCGAACGAACTCAAAGTTGCAAGTCGACCCACCTGAACATCGTCGTCGTCGTCATCATCATCCTCATCATCGTCGTCCCCAATTTCACCGTCCCCATTTTTCTCCGCATCTGCAGTCGCTGTCGCAGCCTCCTTGTCCTGCTCTGCCTCCGCTGCATCGACCGAGGTCTCATCTGTCCGCTGCTGATCATCCTCACAGCTCAATTCTCCTGCTTCTTTGTCGTCCTGCAAAAAAGCAGAGTTGATTAATGTTCACTTTAGTTGGTCTGACTGTGGCAGGGGACTCTTCTACATGAGCTGAGCTCCAACGAAGTAGGTATACCTCAATTGAGCTCAGTTCATGCACGCTACGAGGATAGGAACTTCAGTACGTAGCCTTCGGGTGTTTCGTACTCGCTAGTACTCGTGTAGCAAAAACAAGTCCCAAAGCTACAACATTTCGTGTTAAAAGAGAAATGGGAGTGCAACATTCCATAGAGATGCGAGGGTTTTGAACCTGTATGAAATTTTCAATGTCTGCCATCAGTGTGCCATCATGAGTGGTTGCACTTTGTTGTTATAGAACCACAGTGAACTAATGGCCAACTCGGAAGAGTATGAGAACCAATCACAAGAAAGAAAAGAATGTAGGTTAGGAGGACAGTGGAAGACACCAGAAACGAATGTCCTAAATACGGCGGCAAGGGGTCTAGCACAATTGCCCCGCATGCAGAATCCCTGTCGAAAAAGCCCTGCATCATTAGCACCATATTTCGAAAGCCCAGAGTTCAATTACACCCCCCTTTATTCCCCGCGTACCAAATGCCCCATCCTCACTACCCCCGTAACACCCTCTTCACACTTCGACCAGCATTGTTTCATGTCTTAACCTAACCTGTTGAGGGCCTACAAAGGGTCTTTTAAGTGAAAGGAACAATCAAATAAGGTTAACTTGAACTGCAGAAAAACTTGGAATGATGTAAAAGTGGCCAACAGCAATGCACTCTGCTGTCATGGAGGTACCTCATATGCAGAATTATCCTCTCCTAGATAGATACAAATATTTTTAGAATGACGCAAGGATGGAACTGGTGTTTGGTGCTGTGATAAGTTTGGAGTCATGAGCTTCACGTTAGCAGCTTTGACAGAACCCACTTCGTTTGTTTTCACTTTTAACGACGCGAGACGTGACTGTGTATAGCGCACGCCTGAAGAATGTGAAGCTTTATCCAGTTATTCTTTTACTTTACACCTTACAGGGGGGATTCACATCATGGGCTTCAGAAACTGGGGCTTGTGAAAGCGGGGCAAAGAGGTCAGATTGTATAACCGCGGGGCATTTGACATTAGGTGCTTTCGAGCACCACCCGGCAGCAAGTTGGGCTAGTTGGTACACTATGTTTTTAAAAAAGGCAAGCCAGAACTAAAGTTGATGACACACAACAAAGTGCACACACAATGTGCCGAGCATGCACTGTGTTCCTCGAGTGCTTTACCTTTCCGAAATAAGGCTCTTATGCCACCATAGCAACACGCTCTAAAGCTTATCGCGTCAGGCTCAGACGACAGCGCTTCTCAATACATGCAAGTCAGTGCAAGGTCAGTTGACAAAACAAAAGAGATTCCTGCCCACAAGATGACAACCTCAGCTCTTTCACATCATACATCGCACTTCAGCTTGATCCGTATCTCAACGAAACAAACAAATTATAAAAGTTGCAAGCTTTCTATCCACAAACCGATCATGCCCAAAGGGAAAGCCTGATCTTGTCTCCAGAATGATATTGAATAGCAGGCGGAACTTCCAATCGCACCGTGTAAGTTAATGCCACAGACGAATTCAATTTCCGCCTGTAAAGTTTTTACAACACCCACAGGCAAGTTGGAATTGTGATGGCAGAGCTGATTATCCAGACGAGCGCATGAAACATGTTCTTCCGTTGTGCCAAAACTGGTTTCATGGTACGCAGCTAAAGACCACAAATTTATCCCATTTTTTCTTCTAAAGTAGAACTGACGGTTGGATAACTTAAAGCTAGTTCGTTTTACTAGAGCGCCTCACTGATTGCACGTTACCAAAGGCGCGTGTCAGAGAAGCGCTTTCAAAAACTGCTACCCTAGTGTTAGCGACCGCCGCCAAAGAGGTGTCGGCCACTGTGGTATCCCCGTGCATTTATTGGGTACCTGCGGCACTTCGTCTTTGATGATAACGACTACGGAGTCTTCCGCAGCTGTGCGCGAATCGTCGCCGCCTTCTTCCCGATTCTCGGCGTCTGCCTTTTCGTTTTCCCCGTACAGCCAAGCATCGTCGTCTTCCGCGGCAGCAGCCATTTTGTTCGCATCACAGGATTCGGATCCGGAATGAACGAATCCAGAGCCGACGCCGAAGCCCCGAAGCCGCTTCTGCAGTTTCTGCGTTTCTGTTCGTTCATTCAAACCTTCCAGAGACAGTTTTAACCACTTTCTTGACTTATGGCGCCTTATTTCTTGTTTTAGTACTTTATTCAATGTTGACGCCGGTACATCTGGCGGGGAAGGGGTGAAAAAGAAAGAGCAGTCACAGGACCGCTTAGTTCTGAAATGCACCGTTCTGGTGCTGCAGTAACTGTAAACAATAGTTCGCTCCGTTGGTTCGCTCTCGTCTCGCGGCCAGTTTTGTGTTTTTCCCCAATTGAAGTTTCTTTTTGCCTTACGTTTAACATACCGAACATGTCTTTAAAATGAATTGGAAACCACAATCATTTATTTTTAGTTGCCTATAGTTTACTAGAATTAACGCCCGTTTATATCTCGGCATCAAAACTTTTCCAACAGGCAGCGATGAAGCTCGTGCGTGTTTGCTGATCTTTCTGTACTCTGTACCTCCTAGCTGACTCGTGTTTTCTGTTTCAGTTCTGCCTTAGCAGCAATCCAAACAAGCCATGCAGCGTTCTCAAATTCAAGAACACCACCATCATGTTCGACTGCGGCCTGGACGCTACGTCTGTGCTGGGATTTCTTCCCCTACCTTTGGTTTTGAGGTAATTTCGATGGACACACTTTGCCTACGACGTTTTGGCGCGTTTACCCCCGCGTGCGCAGAAGAATTCGCCCTCTACATGAAATATTGCTTCTGCGCATGCGCGATGCCTACCACGCTTGCTTGACGTCACGAAATAAGCTGGCCTTTGCTGTCTCGTGTGTAACCACAAATATTTGAATAAAAAAAAAATACTGTCTTTTGGGGATTGTTCAAAGATGTTTGCACCTTTAGGAGATGCCAAAAGACAGCCAATTTGAAAACACCTTCGCTCACATCTGCTCGAAACCATAGTCTGTCACACACCTTACACACTGCACCAAACGGATTGCCCGTGAATTGGCACCCGAACTGCCGGTTGGCCGTTGTGTAACGGCAGCTGGTTGTCCATCGCTGGCAAAAGTGTGTGACTTTGGGGTGGCAAACATGTAGAGGAAGACTAAACTCCTGCCAGAGTTTCATTGCTAAATCTCTCTTCCTTCGTGACAATAATACAAACCTTATAAATGCCCCGCATATCTGTAGTCTGCTTCACTGTCGAGCCCACTCCAAGGAATGTGCCCATTCTAAAAGCAGCAGGGCTACATCTCAGGCACTGGCACGAAGCTGCTAGGAGCCAGTTTTATAAATGCTTTCCATCTAAAAATTTGTAGGAAAATGTCCCGCAAAATATCGTACGGCATCTCTCGACTCGTCGAAAAAGCATGCATGCATCCTACGTGACGCAGTTGGCGTGAACACGGCATCAATGCTTTTTAGCAGCTTCAAAGAGTGGCCAACATGTTCCGGCTTTCCGCTACCCTCACCACTAACTACTACTAGCAGCTTTAAAAAGGAATTGGCAAGCGCCACATTTTACTGCTTTGGCTAACGCCTTGAAGGAGCCCTTTCCACTGCACCGGTATCATTGTTGCGATGACAGCATTTTGGTTCTAAGAGATAAACGAAAGACCAGGAATGACTTGGTCGTGCTTACAGTGTCGCGCCCACTGCGTGTAGCGGGTCAGCGAAAGGGCTTTGGAGCACACAGAGCACATACGAGAAACGTTGTGCAGCATCCCACGTGGCAGCATGTGCCTTCGGTTTATCTTGGAGTGACTGTGTTTTGGTAGACTCCTTAGCCAGACAGAACAAGGCCAGAAAACAGGACTGGGTGATGCTGTGGTTAGCATACCGTACCAATAATCGGGAGACCCGAATAGGGATCCCATGCTCGGCTAGTTATCGTTTTCTGTTGGCTTTCGAATTTCATTTTTAGTTGATCGGTGTGGTTGGTTCATATGTTTAAATGCCTCTCGTAGTATGTCTGTGCAAATTATTGTTTACGTTGATTACATTTGGCTTACACAAACTACTAATCATAAGTTGATAAAAAAAACAATCCATCAGTCTATACTCAAAACTTTTATGCATGATTTAACATCTACCAGTTGGTGTCAATCTTGATGTACATGTGTAACATATACACCTTCTTTATCAGATTGCAAATATACTGTACTTGCTTCCTGCTAACATAGACTTCTGGAATGAGATGAAAAGCTACCGCATTTACTCTTGATCCCGTGTGCGCAGCTCCTATAACGTCAAACTTTTATTTTGGTGCACAGCACGCGGCTATCGAACCTGCCGCTCTGGACGCCGCGGGAAGCGGGCGATGCGCAGCTTGAAGGGGTAAGCAAAAAGTGGCTTTGTTTTTTGGCGTTGACGTCCAGGTGCACGTCGCCTCAGACGATCTGCAATTGACATCTGGATTTTCTGCAGGAATTCAAAGAAGCCAATGGAAGGGTGTTCGTGGACAGCGCTCCAGAATTCTGCATCCCAGAGGTGTGTTTGTGCTTGTTAACTTTTTTTTACAGCAATGTGGAGCGAAATTTTGTCCGCTTCCTGCACAGGGGTTGGGGTGATGTCAAAACGCCAAACTCTTATTAGCTGATTAAAAAAAATATAGAGCGATTCCACTCCTGCGCCAAATGCGCCATTTTGCGCCAACGCTGATTGGCTGCGCCGTTCTGATCAACATTGGCGATATTGATGGTTATTGCGCCAGACTGCGCCAAAATGAGCGGCTGAAAGAGGGGGGGGGGGGGGGGGGGGGGGGGCATTTTGTGTCACCTATCGTAGCTAGAGGCAACTTCAACTGCAGCAAAACGGATGACACCTAGCGGCTGTGCTATCGACCTCCGACGTCACGTGCCTCCGACGGTTTGGGTAAGTCTTATATTTCCTCATTTTTTTCGTGTAGTCGCGCAAACAAACTTTGTACTCTTGTTAGCGCCAGTGCTGCGTCGGTAAACCGCTTTTGTTTGTGCATTTGTATCTTCCTTGGTGCATTCTTGAGTCACATACTACTATACAGACTTCTGGAGAGGACAGGTGGTTTTCGCATGCACACCTTGCCGACACAATGAGCAAGGGTATGCATCTGTGATTTCCCCCGATGTTTACCGGACGTCACTGCCATGTGCGTCTCTCCCACGTGCAAGTAATTTGGAATGTGACGGGCCCACGTGGCGTTATATACTGGTCTATGCTTTGTCACTTCGTTTGACAAGTAGGCCTGCACAAGGGAACTTTCTCATAACCTTCGTCCACACTTGCGGATGCGCGAGCGGATTTGCCCCCACTTTCTACCGGGTGGCGAAAGTGGCAGAATATGCAGCCTACTTTTGCCATTTACTGTTAGCAGTACCGTTTGCCGCCGCTTAATCAGCTGACGTTTCGTGCCCGGTGGGGGAATCGGAGCGAATTCGAACGTGGATCCGCAATTCTGATTGCACCATCAACGTGAATCCTATATGGCGCTCGTGGTTTCTGTTGTTGCCAGTGTTATGACGCCTGCCTCGCGACTGTTCGAGAACCTTACTGGACATTTCAATGTGCTCGAAAAACATTCCGGAAGACTTGCGCTCGTTCTATCCATGACAGTTTATTTTTATGACAGGTATTATTTGTAAGGCGCCTTGACGTCTCGCACGCGCTCACAATTTTCTGCTGGTTAATGTTTCTTTTTGTAGTTTTTTGCGATTTGGTTTTAAGGCTCGTTTACACTTGCGGATTTGCAGGTGAATCCTTGGGGAAATTGACGCTGGGAGGGGGGGAACCCCTGCGCTGGCGACAGAATATTCGATCGCGGGAGCAAATAGTCCGGGACCAATTTTTCCCACACAGAAAAAGTTTCTACGCCGTCGCAGCCAATCGGAACGCACAGAGGAAATGGTGCTTGCCGGCGTCACATCCTGGCTGAGTCGCCAGAGTTGTTGCAGTTGCCGCCGGAGTTGTCAGAGTTCCCAAGTTGTGCAAAGGGCGCCGTCTCGCTGGTATCGTTGTGTCGGCAGTAATGCTGATCGAAACTAAATCATTCAACCCTTTTTGACAAGAGGCAACTGAGCAATGAAGACAGTGACCGCAAAGAAGATCTGTGGAATAAAATTGGCATGAGTCCTCCATACGCACATTATCTCCGTTTGCTCATTATTTTATTATTGCCTACTCGTATTGCCGAGAGAAGGTTGGGCATTTTACCGGCACTGCGGGTAAGCGTTAGCTACAAGAGGAAATCTGCGAGAGCATTTTCTTGAACACCATTTGAGCCAGAGCAGTCTGATCTGATATCCGCGAGAGAACGGAACTGCGCAAACTCAAGGTGACAACAGATGTGAACACCGCCGTCTTTTTCCACCCAGTAAATTCAGTCGGCGACAAGAGAGCTTTTCGCAAGTGTGAACGCAGCCTTACAGAAATCCTTGCGTCGTGCCTGAGGTAGCGAAGAAGCTGCACAGCGGGAGCCACAGGCGCATAGATACACATCTGAAGTATTTAAATATTTATACATATCCAGTATTTCGTGGTCAAGATATTGATATTTTGCTTCTCTTCTTTGCAGCTCTACTCACAACTTTCAATGCATCGGTGCTGGATGAGCTCGACAGCAACAGCAATGCGACCAATATATGCTGCCAGGGAGGGGAAAAGAACTAAGTACAGTGAAGAAAAGCAGTGCCTGGAAAGGCACTTGGAATCATCAAAGGCCATGCTTGTGCATGCTCAAGGAGTGATCAAGACGGTGCTGGCTGCCAAGAATATGGACGAATTTGCATCTGGCTAAGTTCTCCTGGCAGAGGAAAATGCCAGTCTTTCCAAAAATATAAGGAAGCTAGCAGGTGTGAACGAAAAGCTTCAGAAGCTATGAAGAACGAAGCGACAGGCTTTCGGTATGTTCTTGCACATGGAATAAACAGGGTGCGACAGTTACACAGGTTTGTTGTCTTTTTTAAAACAAGTAGGGTTTTAATGAAACATTTATTTTGTCATAATTCTTTATAAACCAACATTGCGAAGGGGAATATATTTATTATACCTTAGCAAGCAACATCTTTCTACAAGATCTGCCCACTTTGAAATTCTCCAAGCTAAGTGTAGGTGCTCTGAATAGCTCTAGATTTGATAATCGTATGCTGAAAAAGGCTCTACAAACTTGCTGTAAGGTGTTCTAGAGTGCTCCAAGATTCATTTTTAGGAGCTCCAAGATTAATCTTTTAGTGCTCCGAAATACATTTTCAGGTGCTCCAAAAATCGCTCCAAATCACAATTCTGCAGTAGCATCCCTGCATCTAACATTGAGGTCTTCCCACTATCCTTCCAATCAAAGCCAATCGGAGCTCGGCATCTTTCTGACGTCACCGCAACTCCCGTGCAAGAAGCAGACGACTTGCTCTCCGCATAGCCGTTTTTGACAAGGTATCGCAGCAGATTCCCATGGCGTGTTTTGTGTGGGGCTGTGACGGCGTAGGCTGCGTCATGGTGTCACGCGACATCATTGCGTTATGCAATGTCATGGTCTCATGTGACGTCATTCATTGCTCCGTTGTAACTAGGATGTGAACTTTCCAGTTTCAATCGAAAAACCACCCACTAACGTCTGCCAGCGACGAAAATTTGAAATATGTTAAATACCGAAAAACACCGGTAATGGAGTATTTCATCCCGATAAAAACCGAAAAACGGCTGTCGTTGAACGTTTCTGCCGTGGCGACGGCTATTCTGTTTGAAACCCCTCCCCCGTAGAGGTTCATCAAACATGTCATCTCGGGGAGAATTTTATTTTTCAGTTTTGTTTTGACTCTCTCCACTTAGAATTCTGCCAACATTAGTGTGGTCCACAGGGCCACTAACCTTGGAGAATGCGTCTTTTCGCATGGGGAACGGAGATGCGTTCACTGTTACCCGTTTAGTTTTCAGAGGCTTCCAATGCTACGGTTTCGGTTTGACGTCACCTTGATTCGGGTGCACTGAAACTGCCTCTTTTTGGAAGGTGGGCTGACAGGTGTAGGTTTTGTCGACGTAGGAATTTCTCACTGTGTGCAATAAGACCGTTGTTGTTGCCTTCGGTGGCTACTTAACGACGAATTCGCTACTGTCATCGTTGATGCCGTGTCATAACAGCATGCGGGAGGGAGCGTGATGCCATGGCAGGCGCAAGCCTTTCGGAGTATGCTTGCATCTACTATAATAACCGAGCATAGAAATAGATGCTGCCACGGGAAGAAGAGTGTTTAAGATGGTGTGAGCAAAGTTGAAGCTTTGGAGCGTTCACATCCAATCGCATTTCTTTCCACCAACAACCACCGTTTTAGCCTCGTCTCGAGTTGTTAAACTGAAATACGCCAGTGCTTAAAGAGTAAATAAACACCGAAAAACATTTACCGATTTTTCTCAGAAATAAACACCGGGAAATGCACACCCTAGTTATATCCTACAAGTGTAGTATGGTGCACGTGTAATTTTGGTCTTCAGAGGCTAAAGCTCCGGTTTCTTTTAGATTATGGGGGACAGTGGCATGAACAGGCCCATTCAGTTGATGTGACGGTACGTGGGAGCGCAATGGTCGATGCTCGTATATAAGTAAACACAATGGAATCTAATACGCTAAACACATTTATGTTAAAGCATCTAGAAAACAACATAAACGTTTCAGCCCCAATATTTTGTTTGCCGTAAAATCCTAAGCAAGAGCCCACTCAAAATTTGGAGATAATCTGTAAAACTGGCGCTGATTAGGTCAACAATATGTAAAGATGTGTCCTTTGTGTATTTTCCGAATGTTACAGAATTGAGGGGTGGGCGCTTATTGTGGAATGGGCGGATGCTCTGTATTTTACGGTAGTTATATTGAGAGAAGATATTCCCTCTTTTTGGCGTGAAACCGATTTCGCTCGATTTTCTCTGCATGAGTAGCCTTTGTCATCACTGCCTTAACGTGCGTTGTCAAGGTTGTTGCCTTGACAGCCAGCTTGTCAATTGGTTGTACACTTTGGTTTGTTTTAGACTGGTCTCGTGGACTTTGCGGATCTGGACGTCATCCTCATCTCCAACTACCAGTCCATGCTGGCCCTGCCCTATGTCACCGAAGGCACGGGATTCAAGGGGACCGTCTACATGACTGAACCGACCTTGCTGATTGGCAGGCAGGTCATTCGGTGTATTGCCAGTTGGTACCTACCAACCTGGAAACTTTGAAATCGTCAGGGGATCTGCTCAAAACATAGGGAAGTAGGTGGAATTTTGTGGGAAACATTATACTTTAGCACATATTTATTTTCAAACATTCAAAAGAGATAATCGGCCTTTTAGATGTAACGGTATATGTTCTCACAAACGATTGTATGACGACAGTCAAAAGAAATACTAACAACGACGCGATGACCGAAGGATACCTAAAGTGCCACATGGCAGCGGGTTAAGGGATGCCGCATGCGGGCAGTGTTTAAAGAAAGAGACCGTTTTTTTTTTTGTTTTTTTTCAGCATTCACGGCAAATTTTATTTTTGCGATTCACTACCAATGGCACTGCCTTTACGCTGCGTTCTTGAGTGGTCGGCTTCAAAAATGATGCCGCTCCTTCGTTGGAATTCATGGCACCGTGGCGACTGGTTGGTGCAGTCGCAGGAACTGCGTATTTTATCAACAGTTTCTGCTTAGTCATTTGACCGAAGCCATTCCCATTCCGCTTAGAGTCATTCTGGAATAATCCACTGGCACTGTGACAATTGTGTGCTATCGATGCAATCATCATGTCGCAAAGACGATCTTTGCTAACTGAAACAAAAAACACACAGTGAGATCACTCGACACCGCAGATGGCAATGCTATATTTTGCATGCTCTTGATTTCACGCATTTACTGACGGCCCATTGATTGTAAAGAGCAATAATTCGAGGGTGTGCCTACTACCAAAACAGTGACTGTCACACCATGTGTAACCAAGAGTGAAGGTAATGCCACAGCGGGTAACGCCAATAATAATCTCGCCTGAGAAGTACCAGCCAGTCCCGCTCGAAGGTTCCTATTTCTTTTGACCACAACTGTACAAACACCAATCTCATCTTTGTTTCGTCTTCCTAATCTGTGGGAGGTCACCCATCTTTGTTTCGTCTTCCTAATCTGTGGGAGGTCACCATTCCCGATTGTGCATTGTCGCCTCAATTATTAACGACACTAGACATTGTTTTTTTCTTTCTAAATATTATATATGAAGTATGATCAAAAGCACCGATAGAAAAAGCCCCGAGAATTAAAGTAATTTCAAACTGTTGTAGGCATCCTTCTCGGCACTTATGAAGGAAGAGCTACACACAGAAAACCACGAAGCAAAACAATACGATGTTAACTTCTGACATTACATAAGCACGAAATCAAACGACTAGGGCCCTTGGAACCACCTTAGTTCTTGTCGACCAACCCGGTACTCTACGTTTGTCAACCTCTCGTGGAGCCAAATTTATGAGACCGCGATAAGCGTTCCTGTGACCTCTTCATCTCTTTGTTTGTGACTGCAGGCAGTTTATGGACGAGCTGGTGACATACATCGAGAGGACACCAAAACCCAGAACAGCGACCAAATGGAAGCAACAGGCCGTCAAGTGAGCAAGCATGTTGTTGTCGCATTTGAAAAGGAGAGAACTGTCTTCAAGTGGCAGCTTACGTCTCTCTTGTTGGGAGGGAATCTGGCTGGAGTCGCTGACAAGAGGAGAATGGCAGGGATGTCTTTCAGTTGTCACCCCGCAGTGCAAACTTCCGACCTCCTATAACACTTCGGTGTCTTTCTCGAGCCTCGAGCGCACCCATGTAGCCAAAGCACGGCAGAAAGCAGCGGGTATTCAAAGGAGACGCCCTGCCGTTCTCCTATTGTCGGGGAAAGAGACGCCCGCTCACCTAGGGGTCTTTTAACGGGCATTGCTCGTTAGTGATTGGACGAATGCACTCCTGTAGAATGGCTGTCTACATCGAAATCGGCCGATCTGGAAGGTGAACTCGGAAGGTCTGCACCTGCGGTGGGAGTTTTCCCCCGATGCGCTGGAGGGTTGAACCCCGAACCCTCCGTACACGCTCGGCCACTGAGCCTTTTGAGCAGACCCGTAAATCCGGCGTGTTCAAAAGTTCATGCCTCAAACTTTGACAGACTGGAATCACCCCCATAATCACATAATTGAAAGTGTGGAGAATGCTGTACTTTTCAAAGACCACATTGCTAACGATGCAAGTAATTAAGCACTTTTTTTTTCTCTTTCTTTTTCATTAACTTTTTTATTTCATAAAAAAGTTTAGCCTGATGGTGTAATGAGTAGATCCCAATGTACTATAATTCTAAGGCTTCTTCTTTTTTTTTTTCCCATCGTACATAAAGACAAGTACATCATTTTTACTGCATCATTTTCTGGTTTTCTTAATAATTTCTGGAGATTTTCATAATTAAACCAAATATAACACGAGCCGAATGGACCGACCTCGCTAGCCAGTTTCGCTACGCTACCACTGTCGCCATGCGTCGTGGCTGTTGTGGCCTTTGTGAAAGCGGGACGACCCTGCTGCGGGTCTGCGAAGGGACGAGATGGCAGAAGTTCTCCCGTGCACCGCTTTGTGCCTTCTGTAGACCACAGTTATGGCAACGTCGTGCGTTCGTGGCATGTTTAGTGAGATGGGCTTCGAGTCTATTAAAATTAGGTTAGGGCTTTTAGTATTGCTATGCATACAACACGTTTTCGGTTGGCATGCTGAGTGCATTGCCTTTTCGTGAACAATTCCATCCATTATAGGATGTATAGGGCTATAAACGTGCCCGGTGGAGAAGCATTACAGGCACTGTAGCATGTTTCCAAGACCGTGACAACCTCAGGTAATGCTTTACAAATAGTTACCTCCCACCGTGAACCTCGGAACTATTGCTGAACTTTCTTCTACTTTAATGAACGAGCTTCTTTGAGATGTTGGCAATGTCTGTGCAGGGCTGGCCACTTCATTCTTTAAGTGGGGGGTTTCAGGGTCAAAAGGATAGTTACGCTCAAAGGGGTTCGTTCCCCGCGTGCAGGTTTCCGCAGCTGTCTTCTCAGGATTTGGGCAAGCCCCGGTCCTGGAAGCAACTGTACAACATGCATGACGTCAATAGCAGCCTCTCCAAGGTCAAGGTGGTTGGGTTCGCCGAGAAAGTGGTAAGCGGATGAGGGCCTAACCCCAAGCTCCCAATCTTCTTTTTGACCCCGAGCGTTCAAAGTGTTAGAGAAGTTAATTTTTTTTTTCCCCGCCATGGCACTCTTTCTTGAAGGATGTCTTTGGGATGGTCCAAGTCTCTGCCGTGAGTTCGGGCTACTGCCTGGGCAGCTGCAACTGGATCGTCACCGCCGATCACGAAAAAGCAAGTGCCACCTCCCAACCTCTGTCGCTCGCCCCGGCCAAAACCGTTCGTGCTGACATTGAGCGCACAAAAATTAAGATTTTTCTTGACTTTGACATATCCTCAAGTACACCACCTGTTGCACCACCCCACCACCGTACACCACCTGTCGAGAAAAATTTGAGATTAGTTACATTTAAGTTTTTCTATTAATTATTTTAAAAAGTTCATTGTTGTACGAGGGCGTGGTATGCCGAGGTAGCCTTCGCTTCATTTCACAAAAAGTACCCTCAGATATACTATGGACTATAACAACTGTATCTGGCAGCAGAGTAACGCCACTAGACGAAGGCACTATGGTTGACAACAGGTTAAGTCCAGTGGAAGCTTTTCCAACCCTCTCCACTTTAGCAGAGCGGATGAGGGCAGAACCCCAAGCATGCTGGAGAGGAGGCGACCTCCTCTCCAGCATTCGCTCTTCTAAAGTGAAAAAAGTGGGAGGAGCTCCTCCCGGACTCTTAAACTGTCACCAACTGTAGGTGTGCTAGGCCGAAAGCAGTAGTGGCAGTCTTCATTATAGTCTTGAAAATGGCTATGGCCGAGTTCCAAATCTCTCTAGTGGCTCCAAATCACAGTAGACTCTCAATAATTCAAACTGCAAGGAAGCCATAAATTTTGTTTGAATTATCAGAAATTTATCTAAATATGAATCAAAATAAAATTATTTGTTATATAGATGGCTACGCATACAAAGCAGATATTTGATGATTTCCTCTACACAGGTCTACTAATCATAAGCAGGTATGCCACACACAAGACATTGGTGAAACAAATGGCATAAGTTTATTCATCCATCAAAAATGTTTTTCGTGGGCTGTTTAGACAACACGTGACTCCTCATAGCAAAATTAAGTTAGCGTATCCAGCAAAAAAGTCATCTGTTGTGGACTATTAAGTAGGAGGCACATGAGCGGCGAAAATGGGTGCAGCGCGGCAGTTTTCGCAGCAACTTGCGCGGATGCCGTGACGTGGACGTACGCCGTGCCGCCTTGTCACAGCATCTGTGCAAGATGCTGTGGAAACTGCCGCCCGGCACCCGTTTTCATCGCTCTCACGTCCCCCGCCTTAGACCCGTTGAGTGTGCCTCTTACCGAGCACCGGCATACTGCGGAGAAGCAATACTTGCGAAGGTGAGCTCGCAGGTATTGTTTCTCTGCGGTGCACCGGCGCTCGGAAAGAATCGCGCTCAACGGGGTTACGAGAACAAAAAGTATGAATTACGCGAAAACACCGTTCGAATTAAGCGGCTTATAAGTACATTAAAAACATAGTAGGACAACCCAAATTTTGCAAGTTGTTTGAATTAACCAGAAATATGAAGTATCCGAGGTTGAATCACCGTGAGTCCATCTTACTCTTGCGTATCACATCACATCACACGGATAAAGCGACACTGCACGCAAGTAGGTTTTCGATCGCCAAGGCACAAAACTTACTCTGGTGCGAGATTCGGTAAATTTGGGAAGGCGACCCACAGCAATGGGACATCTGGCGACACCTAGCGACTTTTTTTTTAGCTTAGCGCAGTGCTGGGATATAGATAGTGACGCCTAGTGACTATTTCACAAGTTTGATCGCTAGATCTACGTTTGAGATGTGGTGGGAGAATGTGACTACGGGTCCAAGCATGGAGCCAAAATTGTGCATTCTAGTTTTCTTCGTCCCTGACCGTACGTGCCGGTTGTTTGCACACCTGCAGATAGTGTACATGTCTGGCTCGTCTACCCTGACCACTCACCCCAAGCCGATCGAGCATGGCCCGCTGCGTAACGCGGACGTACTCATACTCACCAGCCTCACCCAGACACCGCTGGCTAATCCAGACACCATGCTTGGAGAGTTCTGCATCACTGTCGGTATGTCCGAATTCCTGGCACGTTTGCTTGTCTTGTAAGAAAAACATGCATTGTTTAGCATTATTGTCGAGACATGCAGATTATTAATGATTATAATGCAATTAAATGCAAAGCTGCAAGAGAGCTGCAAGCTTTGCATTTAATTGCATTATAATCATAACATTAAATTGCAAGCTTCACCCTTGTTGGTGTACGACTGGTGGCGGCTGATAAAACCCTTTAGCTCTACTAACGTCTAACCCCTGGTTAGCTCAGTTGGTAGAGCGCTCCACTTGTAATGGAGAGGTCCCGGGTTCAATACCCGGACCAGGCGGATTTTTTCGGTCGCGCACCAGTCACCTAGCTGTGTTTGGAGATACATGTGTGTCCTTTGTCCCCCTTGTTCCCCTTCTCCAGGGATTATTTTCGTCATTCGAGATTTTTAAATTGTATTAAACGACAAAAAACAAACTTGTCAAAATTAAGGGAAACTTTTGGAAAAAATTAACTGCCACTGGTGGGCACAAACCCATGACCTTTGCTTATCTTGGTGCAATGAATAGCAAAGGTACAGATAGGGTGAAGCAAAACTAAAGTATGTTTGTGCTGGTGATACATGTTTGAGATATACTGATATATCAGAGTTCTGGTATTGTAAATTATTATTTTTTTTAATAAATAATAGAGGCTTTGTTACAGTGAGGTTTTTGCCACATCTGTCTCTTAGTAACACCTTTGAAATGCTGTAAGTGTTCTTTGAACAGATGACCAGCTGTGCGAGCAGTGCACCTTCAATTGCTTTGTCTGTACACAAGAAATGTGATACTGTAAACTACTTTGAAAATCAAGTGTAAGCATAAAGTAATACGATACTATTAACTACTTTATTTTCATGGGATTGGCAATTTGCAAATAGTGCCTTTGGGGACTATATTTTGCAATTGGGAGTGGTTTGCAATGAAATCATTACTCTGGCACGATATATTTGAGTGGTTTCTTTTTGTGGCAATGTTCAGCAAAATTCGTAAAAGTCGGGTCCTCGCGAAAATTAAGTCGTTCACAGTGGACGCTTTTCCCGGGCGGGCATCCAGTTTTATGATCGTGCCTCATCCCCCCGTCTACATCTGCAGCAATGACCGTCAAGATGGGCGGCAATGTGCTCATCCCGTGCTACCCTTCGGGGGTTACCTACGACCTGTTCGAGTGCCTCTCCGGCCACCTGGAGACGACCGGGCAGGTCAACGTGCCCATGTACTTCCTCTCCCCCGTTGCGGACAACTCCCTCGCCTACTCTTCTATCCTAGCCGAGTGGTGAGCGAATCCTTCCAGCTCGGGGCTGTGCGTCTGTTAAAAGTGGGGGACTCGGCTCAGCTTATGAGCATTTCTGAGGGCTTGTGGGAGCCGATTAACGCTCGTAAGCATCTCTGAGCTCCTGCAAGAGGCTGCAGGCACTAGTGAGGAATCTGTGTGGACTCGTGAAAGTCTAAAAGGATTCACGAGAGCTCGTAGGGATTTGCAAAAGCTCGTGAGAACTTGCGAGAGCGTGCGAAGACTTGAGTGCCAGAGAAAAGGTATGAGAATTTGTGAGAGCCTTGTAGTAGCCGTGAGCTAGCTTTGGGGAAAAGGCTAGATACAGGGTGTGGCTATATGTGCCGGCCCAGTGACGTTCGGGCCGGGGTGGCAAAGAAAAGCCACGCTGGGAGTCCCAGGTGTGCTGAGCTTTAGATGAAGAGGTTAGAATTGACTGCCATGTTTTTACAGCGGAGCTGTTAAGGGCTAATCTCCCCAGGATCGTGTCCCCCACAAAGAAATGAAAACACCGAACTCTGGACACCTACCGCCATCTATGAGCTATGGCGGCAAGCCATGTATCTGGTTGCCACGGTCGCTCATAGATGGCGGCAGCCTTTCCACTCTGGCTTGTCAACTTGCGGCCGGCCATTACTTTCCATTGTACAGCTCCGCTGGTCTTCCTTCTTCACCAGAGTGGAAAGGCTGGAAATTTTTTATTGTTGTAATGTGACAATTTCATGGCTCAGCATGCTGGAGGCACCCCGTGTGGCAGTTTAATCCTCTCAGCTGACACTAAACTAGGCCAGCTCATATCGCCACTGACTGTTCGTTTCTGAGTGCCGACATATGGGAATGCTGAAAACAGGCACGTAGCCAGGATTTTGTTTCGGGGGGGCCCGCCCATGACAAAATGCTGTATGAGGGAGAGGGGGGGGGAGGTTCCATCAAAATTAAAAATTTCGGGGGGGGGGGGGCCTGGGCCCCATTGGCCCCCCCTGGCTACGTGCCTGGCTGAAAACCTGCGAGGATTTGTGAGAGCTGGCTAGCATTCGTGAGTATCGGTGAGCTCTGGAGAGAGGCTAGGAGCGTTTCCAAGAGCCGAGACACATCTATGGGAGCTTGTGTTGCCTCTGGGATGCTATGAGCAGTTGTGTAAGTTTTTTTTTAGCATGTGTTGTGAGCCTATGACAACTTAGGAGTGGCCATTGGATTTCGGAAGGCTTGTGTGCATTGTGAAACTTGCATACGCTTAACAAATTCTATGAAGCATTGCAAAAGCCATTAGCATTTCCAAAAGCTAACCATCAACCTGTGAGTCTGCAAGCATTTCTGGATTGCTAACTATGGTACTTGAGGGATGTTGTTAGCACTTTCAAGTACCTTTGACCTCGTAAAAGTGCACATAAGCATTCATGGGTGCTTGTGAGCTCTCCTGGGGAGAAAGTGCGAGCAACACACCTGATAAACCTGAGAAGTATCGACCAAATCTTCTACACTTCTGCAAGGTTTCATGACATTTGTAACAGTTCGGGTGGCGATTCCGAGAAGTTGCTTTGGCAATTTACGGGGACCCCATAACTTTGCTCAGCATCAACTACTTTCTGCAACGTTGTCAAGGCTAGTGAAGCTTCCGCAGCGCTGGAGCCCCACACTGCCACGAGATGATGTGGCTTCTTTCGTATCTCGTTTGCAAAACCTTGCGCAACCAGCTTTGACAGCTTCGGAGCAGTGCGGAACCTACGGAGCAGTGCGGAAGCTACGCCAGCCGTGGCAATTGAGCGCAAAATATTGACACCAAATGTAGTCTCCTCGTGTCCGCATAGCAGCGTCTCCTGTCCACCTTGCAGGCTTTCTTCTGCAAAGCAAGCGAAGGTATACCTTCCCGAAGAGCCCTTTCCCCATGCCCAGCTGGTCCGTGGGGGACGTTTGAAGCCCTTCTCGAGCATTCAAGGTGCCTTCCAACTTCTTCCAAACTTTGTAGTTTTTAGAAACCCCCACGTCTTTGCTCATAGAGCACTTAATAAAGAGAAGCTAAAGGAGAATGTTAGCGTGTTTTGGTCCTGTTAATTTGAATGTTACAAGCGTTTCACCCAAACGTATCAGTAGACGCAAAAAAAAGAAAAATTAATTGTTGGGTGTCACGTCATACCGAGAGGTTTCAACTGCCTTATCCGTGCCACTTATGAGGGAACACGTGCAGAGCTTCTGGCTGCTCGGGCAAGGCTTGCGGTAGGCGCGGAAATGTCGAGATCTCCGTATAACACGTCACAATTTCCTCCTCTCACCAAATGCGATGAGAAGGAGGGGCTTCAGCACTATTTTGAAAGAGCTGTTGTGGTTACTTGGTGCATCAATCCGAAATATAATTCTGGTACTGTCGAGACCGGTTATAACGAAGTCAATGGGGTTTGGAAATCACTTCGCTATATCCGCTATTTCGTTATAACCGACTTCGGTTATAACGAAGTGCAAAAGGCAATAAGAAATTTTGATCGCTTCGCTGTAGCCGCTATTTCGTTATAACCAACTTCGTCATAACCTGTCTCGACAGTATTCGTAATCCTTGAAGCCGAATAAAAATGATTTAAACCCTTGCCTAGTACTCTTCTTTTTTTTTTTTTCTCGAGGAAGTTACAGCAAAATTTTATTTTAAATGGGCAATTTGCAGTAAAATGAGACAAACACTTCCTTGACTTCCTCGACTTCCAGGTGTGGTATCTCGCTCTAAATTAGGTCTTCTGGTATAAGTCCCATTGAGGTGCACACACCGAAGTTCATGGCATGCTTGCAGGATTCGCATTGTTTTCATCTCTCCTCTCACTGTCCACCAAACTATCATCTGATTCCGAAAAGTAGGAAAGGCCATAGGTTGGCTAAAGCGGACCTTTGCGCCCAAGCCATGTTGTTTTAGCGCGAACGCTCGCAAGCAGCTGCTTTTCTTTTTTCTTGGCTAAATGGAGCGTTCTCTCTCTGTCACAGAGCAAAACAAACGAGCAAACAACCCAAGGTAGATTGAGCAACAGGAGTGGGTTTGCCATCTGCTGGAGAGCGCACTAAACAAGTGCCGAAACTGAAGCATGAGTAACACTCCTGGTCGGGCTTTATGGTCTGCAAGGGGGGGGGACGAGTCACTCAAAATTTGTAGTCGAGGGCTTAAGCGTTTTTTTTCTCAGCTTCAGTTTTCAAGCCATTCATTGTAGTGTGCGGAAAGAGATTGGCAAACGACAGGGGATTTATATGCACGGTGTGTCCTGGCATGTGAAGTGGTACATTCAGCATGTTGTGGAATGTGACATTCGTGCCTCAGTGCAGACTGCAGTGTCGGGTTTCAAGGATTTTCGAGTTTTCATTAATTGCTGGGCCTCTTCCAGAAATGATTGGTTCTCTCTTGTATCCTACGGCAAAGTAGACATGCCTGGCTCTTACTGAATGTTGGGAGATCTTCGACCAGTAAGCGTAGGTTAAATATCTGTGTCAATATTCTAGCCACTTCTTATTTTTCTGCTATGAATATGGTCTTTTTTTTTCTTTGTTCCTCATTTGAGTTGAGTATACATCCTCAAAGTCACATGGCATAAATTTATTTTTTCTGCAATATTTTTTTTTTTCTGCAATATTCTTTATTGACCAGCAGTATATTCCAAACTTTGTTTTTTCCCCCAGTATACCTGTAAGCTAAAATATCATGATTAAACAGTTCTTGTCTAATTATGCGGAATTTTGGAATGCAGCATGTCTGAACGGCAAACTTGGAGGAGCAGCGAGTGGCTTACTGTACAATTCCTTAGAAGATCTGCACATTATTTGCAAAATTTGACTCCAAAGTCGTATTAACTCTCTCAGGGTAGGTGATACAAGGAACGTACAGCATCATCAAGAATTTCTATAGCAAGCAGGTGCAAATTTTTTGCCATCATCTCGGCAAACCAAAACGAGAAGTTCTGCGGGGACCTATTCAACAAAATCTATGCCCTACACATGTTAAACTCAAGGTGGAAACGATACATCAAGATCTCATGCATCTGGGAATAAAATTGGCTATGCGGAGAGCAAGTCGTCCGCTTTTTGCGTAGGGGTTCCGGCGACGTCGGAACGACGCCGAGTTCTGATCGGCGTTGATTGGAAGGATAGCGGCTAGACCTCAATGCTAGATGCCTCGAGGTCTACCCACTATTTTTTTTTTCTATCAGCCAGTAAGAGTTTGGCGTTCTGACATCATCGCGACCCGCGTGCAAAAAACAGGCGAACTTGCACTCCGCATACAATTCCTCGCCAAAAAGAAAAGATATGAAAGTCAAGCAAGTTAAAGACGTTGTAGCATTGCTTACATGATTAGGTGACGAAACAGAAACAAAACTTTCATTTCTGCAGCGGAAGGGTTTACAGCCGACTTCCACACGCCCTGCATTGTGTTTGCGGGCCACCCGTCCCTGCGCTTTGGCGACGTCGTCCACTTCATGGAGCTCTGGGGTCCCTCATCCAATAACGTCGTCATCTTCACAGGTGCCGGGTTTTCTTCTCAGTCGTTGACAGAGTGAGAACGGCAGGGCGTCTTTGGGATGCCCGGCCTCCGACACGCGCTTGTCCCTCCCCGACACACGTTCGTCGCGCGTGTACACTCGGAGCCGACAGGATGTCGAAGTGTTTGTCGAAGGTAGGAAGCTTGCGCCGAAAGCGGCACGGCTGAAAGATCTCCCCGTTGTTCTCATTCTGTCGACGACCACGGTCGGCTTTCGTCTTTGACGGCCGAGTTGACGTTCGAGTGACGTGTTGCCCGTTTCTCATCCTTTCGCCCGCTGCCCGCACCCACAGAGCCGGACTTCAACTTGGCGGACGCCATCGCGCCGTTTCAGCCGATGGCAATGAAGGTTGGTGACCCAAAATCAGTCTTCCGAGTTCGCCTCGTCAGAAATCCGAGTAGTGGTGCATTCTTTTAAGGTCAAGATTCCTGGGAACATTGCTGAGACCTGCAGCAGTGGCGTGGGTGGGAATGTTTTTTGGTGTGCGTGTGGGGGGGGAGGGGGGGGCAAGGTGGCTGGAATGACCATGACCTAGGGCGCAAGAGGGCTGGGGGGAAAGGGGGGGTTCGAAAACTGCATGTGTGTATTATAGGGTTTGCTGGATTTTAGTGGGGTGGGGGACCAAAGCCCCATAAGCCCGTCCCCTGGCTACGTAGCTGGCCTGCAGTCACTGAGCGTCCCCAGTGTGCGAAAGTCCGCAAGCATTTTTTCAGAAGCACGACACGGAACTGAAATCAATGGCCATGAAATGGCGGCCCAACGCAGTCGTAACAAGCCGGGGCGGGCAAACTTGGCAGGGCCCGCTTAAATGGTGCTGGGAAAACAGGCCAGCATTCTTTTTTAGTGGAGTAGACTACGGACTACTTGATATAAAAAGCCCCGGCAAAAATATTCTCGTCTATCTCCAGTCATAGTCAGCGACGCACCACTCCCGTACATGCACGCGGTACACTTTTTTTTGCCTTTGGTTTTTTCTGTTGGCTTTGGGCCGGCATCAGTCATTTGGAGAGCGATTGGCTTAGTTAAATCTCCAATTCGAGCAGATGCTATGGACTGCAGTACTTTGAGAATGTTCAGTGGCTGTATCGAACCGCTTTCGGGACGTTTTTACCTCAGAACTTCAAATTGCAATATTGACGTGATACAGTATATCTAAAAACCTCAAATTTGTTTTCAATGTTTTGTTTGTTTGCTTTTAAAAGGGCAGTGCAACATTTTTAACTTCGAAATAATTTGCACTTTTTAATTTTTACAATGTTCATCTTACCAGAGGGATGGAGAAACCAGCTCATTTTCAAACATCACAATCCCGTTTAAAGTGGTAAAGCAAAGAACGAGAATATTTCGTGACCTGCAGCCGCGGGTGGCGGCCATGGGAACTATGGCGTGATGCCAACCTGGGCGCATTGTAATAAGTTGGCAAGATGTTTCATTATGTGCTCAACCTAAGGCTATCTTTCATGAATATCGTCATTTCAACGTGAGTATTTGCGTCAAAAGCCTCGTATCACCGACGAGATTGTACCATATGTTAAGATTTAGTGGCGCAATCTTCTTGAGGTGAACAAAACCATTCCTCTCTCGCCCTGTCACTACTACGTGAGTCTGACTTCCTTGCAACAAGGCAAGCACTTTGCCCCCTCCCCCCCCCAAACACTTCCTCTCCCTCTGCACATTGCTCAGGCCAACCTTTAAGGTCGCCATATGTGTTGACAATTGCAAGCAGAGGCAGGGCACGCTGGGGGCTCTGAAAGATAACCCAACCGGATACTCTGTTTCCCCAGTGCACACGGCACTGCGCACGTGACTTGGAAGACGGCGTGAGAGTTGAGAGTGGTTGGGAAGTGCCCGAAAACTTCGATTGTTTGACCAAATTTTTGAAAAATGAACTAACGCTCGCAGGCAAAATTGTTTTTCGGTTCTTTACTCCAGACGCGACGGGGAAAGCAAATCCCACAATTATTTGACCGAAGTTCAAGGATTGTTGAACGGCCCCTTCAAGAAAGTTTGGGAACCCCTTCTCTACTCTAATAGCATCGACCTGCGCTTATCCCCCCGAAATTTATTTATACGAGTGCAACACTTTCCGCGATCTGCTGGTGGTTTGTGCAACATGACGAAGACGTTTTCTGTGAGGGTGTTTATCTGCGAATATGCAATGCAGGCCCTCTGTTTCCCGATCGACACGAGCCTGAGCTTTGTGCAAGCCAATAAGCTTGTGCGTGACCTCAAGCCGAGCAACCTCGTGCTGCCGCGCCAGCACACGGTGCCCCCCCTCTTGCAGCCGCACCGGAGCGACCTTGTCATCGAGGCGGTATGTGTGGCCGGCCTTGGCTTGGCTGTTTTGTCTGCTCCGAGCTAGCTGCCTTTGATATTTTCTGTTGACTTTAGTTTGGCCTTGTTGGGTCAGACCGGGCTGAGAGTAACCTTGAATCTTCAGTTGCTTATTATGAAGTAGCCCACTAGGACAATCGGCCCAGGCAAATTTCTTCGTCTTTTCTTCATTCTATCACTTTCTTTTTCAGTTGCTTTTCTTGGCTGATGATGGCAATTACCAAATTATCGACCGCAAAAAATTTAGAAATAAGTGACCAAGTTTTAGGGTTTCTTTCTATCAATGGAATCATTGTCTTAAGGTATCAGCTTGCAGGATGAAAGGGCAAAAAAAGACCTGATTGTTTTGTATAGTCTATCGTGCTTCACCGCCTCGGTGGCTTGGAGGCAAAGTGCCAGAATACGGATACTGAGGTGGCAGGTTCAAATCCCGGTCGAGGTACCCACAATACAATGGAGGCTTATTGCGGCGTAGGAGATTTCGGTTGCATGACAAGAGATCCCCTGGTGGTCGAAATTAGTCCCCATTCCTCCGCTGCACCCTGCCAGACTTGCTTCGAATTCGAGCACCGCTGGTGACGTTGAGCCTAACCTTCAATTACTCGTCTGAGAGCTTGTCGCCCTTGGTGCTCTACCGCCAGGACTGCGACGTCCAGACCTTCACTCGTGGCAGCATTGTGCACATCCCGGTTCATCGGAGGTACCAGAGGATCGAGATGAACGCGGAGGTGAGTTGCTTCATTGACGGGTTGCCTTCACGTGCCACAATTCGAAAATAAGATCACCCAGAATACTTGGGTGTTCTGAGTTTAATTCAAAGTGTTGTACCGGCGTGCATTTTTGTGAACGCTACTGTGTGATGCACGACAAAGTTATTCCACAATAATGGCCATATCGCGCTGGTCACGTTGCCCCTCTTGGCAGTGGCACAAATTGAGACGTTTCGAGGGTGACCGACTTGACCTGCACTGCTGTCTGAATTGTAACTGCACCCTGCAGAAGTGTTAACAGAACGCCATTTGCTCTGACACCTCAAGGACTCTGATGAACACATTCATGGACATCCTCGCAGGATGTCCCTCGTAAGACTCTCAAGGCACCCCATAGACGTCCCGTGAATGCTTGTTTCTGGGAAGCTGGATCTCTCCCCAGCTCCCAAACGTGCATTATAAATAGGATTCTGCAATTTCAGTATACAGCACTAAAGCCGTAAAAGTAATCCCCAGGCCGGTCTTCATTAAAATCGGAGAAAATGGAAATACAGTAGATTCTCATTAAATCAAACTCCAGGAAGCCACAAATTTTGTTTGAATTATCGGAAGTTTGCAATGTCTCAAATTCATATAAATATGATGCGTGATAAAATTATGATTTGCCATATACACATGCAAAGCATGTATTTGATGATTTTCTTTGCATAGGCCTCAAAAATGTTGTTTATTGTTGACTATTTAGCCAGCACATGACAACTCAAAACAAAATTAAGTTTGTTCACCGGGCACATCGAGCAGAGGACACAAGAACAATGAAAAACAAAATTAAGTTTGTTCATCGGGCGAAGAAGTTGTCTAATGTGGACTACTAAGCAGGGGACTCATGAGCAGTAAAAATGGGCACCGCGTGGGAGTTTTCGTTGCAACTTGCATGGATGCTGTGATGTGGACCTATGCCACGCCGCCTCTTCACAGCGTCCGCTCAGTTGCTATGGAAATGTTTGCATGGTGCCCGTTTTCATAGCTCATGTGTGCCCTGCCCGAACCCCGTTGAGTGCGCTTCTCACCGAGCACCGGTGCACTGCGGAGAAGCAACACTTGCGGAAGCAAGCTCGGTGGGTGTTGCCTCCCTGCAGCGCACCAGTGCTCGAAAAGAAGCGCACTCAACGGGGCCGCAATAACAAAAGTATAAATTACATGAAAACGCCGTTCGAATTAAACGGCTTATGAATACACTAAAAACATAGCGGGACAAACCAAATTGTGAAATTATGTTTGAACTGATCAGAAATTTAAAATATCCGAGTTTGAATTATAGCGAGCCTACTGTAACCCCGAATCGAAGGTGTCCATGAATGAGAAAAGGCCAAGCTATGTAGGAGGAAATATTTATCTATGGTTTTATTTCGTGCTGACCGCGAACACCGTTCTCACTAAACTGTCTGCAAGGCCGCTTTTACTGTAAATTTTTTTTCTGGAACCACTTTTTTTTTTTTTTTTTTTGTTATTGGCATTGGGGTGTTTTTCGAGTGTGTGCACAGCCGGCGTGTACCCCGGAGGTCAAGGCATTCCACGACCGTGTCCCATTTGCTCCGTCGCAAGTCCCGACGAATGCCGATGTTCTGTCTGACACCGAGAAATGCCACATTCTGTGGGAGAAGAATAGACTCCCTAAACAACACCCCAGAATTCGAAGAAAAATTGAGCCCCGAAAACGCGAAACGCCAAATATGTAGGTGTGTCTTGCACTCTCCTCGTTCTCTCTCACCTTCTACTTTCGCATTTTCTTCCCCACTTTGTCTCTCCTCCAGAGTGAATCTTCCTTTACCTTCTCGGCTACCCTCGCATTTTGGAGAGTGAGGGAACTACGAGTTGTTCCAGATGCATGGATGTTGACGGCTGCATCTTTTATAACGGGAGGTAGCTTGCGCCAGCTAGCCTTAGAAACTAAAAATCCAAAAGTATCATTTCTCCCCTCACCCTTCTAGGCCAGTTTGCTTCCCCTCTGCAATTTTGTAGCTATCACCAGGTGGTGTGAGATATCACCAGGATGACCTCGTGGGATTGGGCTAAAGACCTAAAAACATCGCCCCCTGCCTCTTTCCGCCGGCAAGGGAGTCGCCAATTTTCTTCTGGTCAAACCTAGTCGGCGTTACCCCCCTACCAGGCCCACAGGGAGACAGAATTGAGACTTTGGGCCCGAGCCGCGCGGGAGAGAGTCCCAATTTTTTTCTGTCCCGCCTATCCCCAGCTGTGCTGGTTACTTGTATGTCACTCAATTCTCCCTAGATCATTTCCACCAGTCTTCCATTAAAGTGCAGTTATCATCTATTCTTCCATTCTTGTATGCAAACCCCAGCGTTCTGGCCAAATTCCTCGCCCCGTTCCGGGAGGGCAGGAGCAAGCCCTGTGCACCTAAACGCTACATGTTCTATTGTCTCGTCTTCCCCTTGGCATACGGCCCACCGCATATTCATTTCCTCATACTTTGTCCTATATGTCCTCGTCCTCAATACCCCTATTCTAGCCTCAAATAACAACAAGCTCCCCCGTGAATTATTTTACCAATGTTCCTTCCTTATTTCCTGTTTTCGTCCCCTATACATAGTTAAAGCTGATTTTCCCTGCATCCTTTCCTCCCTCTTTTTTCTCTCGGCTTCTTTTACTTCCTTTTCTGCAGAGGTAGTCTACTCTGCCCCGGCACTTGTCTGTTGGCAAAGACCAACGTTGGATGCCCACCTTCTAAAGGCTGGGGGGATAGAGGGAGAAAAGATTGTGTTGTGACGTATGTGTCCTATTCAGTCACTTAAAAATAACAAATGTTTTGTTGGGAATTAGTGCCCTTTTCAAGGCCAGCATCCAACCCTGATCTCAAGCAAGGCAGAATCCTCGTAGAGACGTCCAAGTGGAAAGCAGTGTACCGACCCATTTCTTTTATATTGTTGCCAGTGGTGTCACAAGGGTCAGCGGCACCTAGGGCGGCAGCCCGCCGCGACACCCCCCCCCCCCCTGCTTTCGCGTGGCCCGCCGCAATTCCTTCTCCCCCCCCCCCCCCCCGCTCTCGTGGCCCGCCGCGTGACACCCCCCTGAGCGCTGCACCCGGGGCGGTCCGCCCCCCCCCCCATTGAAAATCGACGCTACTGGATCAAAGTCGGTTGACAAGTTTCCTAGAGTGCCTGGTGCCTTTTTGGGGCGCATCCTTTCTGTGGTGCTTGCTGCGTTATTGGCCCAGCCTACGTGGACAGAGGCAATCAAACCGGTGGAACATTGAATTCGCAAAGCTTGCGGTGGGAAGTGATTCTATTGAGGTTTCTGCAATGAAGATAAAGTTGGCGTCGAAAGAGCAGTCCTTTTTCGTTGCTCGTGGGAGCCATGCTGCGGGCGGCGCTAGGATCGCTATCCGCCCACGTACCGAAAAGGACAGTCTTCGAATGACGTTCTTCTGTGGAGCTTGTAGTCAGATAGATCCACAAACATTTTTGTAAATGGCATGCCGTCTAACCGCTCGACTATGATATTGCAGCTGGCGTCTTCGCTGGTGCCCGTCGAGGTGAAGCGGGGACAGGGGGTAGCAACACTGACCGGCTCCCTCTACATCAGCAACAATCGCTGCGTACTCAAGGTGAGCTTCTATTGACGACGAGATCTAACTGCGAGGGGCACTTTGTCAAGCTTGTTTTCCACAGAGCTCGGTGTTTACCCAGCACTTTTGCACTTGATTCTTTTAATCGCCTTCCTCGGTCAAGGGGGGGGGGGGGGCGGGCAGGGGCAGTTTTTAAATCAACCACCCCCCCCCCCTCCCCCCTCACTCTTCACACTCGGCTCCATAGCCTAAAGCCATAACTAGGCCGTACACTTTCCGGTTTTAACAGAAAAACACCGATAAACATCAGTCTGCGTCAAAAATACAAAATAAGTTTTAATCGAGAAGCACCGATTAGCAACCATTGGTGTCAAAATAGAAAATTGGTTGAAAAACGAAACACCTATTTCTGTAAATATGTGCTTTGGCTACGACTGTTTGTGTCTAAACCCTCCCCTTTTAAACTTATACTCTTAAACTTTTACAAAATTGTTTCACTTATAATCATTGTATTTAAGCATGTCCAAAACAGATCACTGAAAAACATTAATATTGTCACAAATGACAAGTGATGAGGCGACGAAACTGAAGAAAAATAAACGTTTAATGGGGGCGAACTTCTGCCCAAAACAAAATAGATAAAGGATAGCGTTGCAGGTGTCGACGGCAGCAAAACAGCAGGATTAAACGCTGGGGCGAAACTGACTCCACTCGCCATGCGGAGTCCCTTATGTACCCGCGTGGGTTTCTGGAACATTCGGCGTAGAACTTTCGGCGCGTAGAACATTCAGAACTCGATCAGACGACAATGTTCTCAAACTGACGAGAACGCCAAGTTGAAAGAATAAATAAAAGAACATTCCGCTGACTGGAATGAAACATAGACCTTCCGCGCAACAGCCAAGCACGGTAACCTTTCAGCCACGCACGCACTTGCTCGGCGACGCGTGTGGCAATATTTCCGTGCGCATGGCCGAGAAAGAACGCTACTCCATACTTATAGAAGATTTGGGTTTACTCTTACACCAAATGTTCGACGCTCAAACATTCTGGGCTGAATGTTAGAGATACTGAGTGCAGTGGCTAAGGAGCCCAACCTGGCCTTGCTGAGTCATTCTCATACTAGCCAGCTGTCATGCCGACACCTCGACGCTCGCTGCCATTTTTTTTGACGCTCATTCTTTTTCTTGTTTCTGGCACAAGTTAACTGATTAAACCTTTATTTTTAGTTCTATGTCTGTCCATCCTTTTTCATCCTCAACAATATTAGAGAAATGAATAAACACCAAAGAACATCCGCCGATTTTTCTGGAGAATCTACGGTATAGCCGTAATTAATCCCCCCGCCCCCGTCATAAAAACCACAATTACCCTCCTCAAAAGAAAAAAAAATAAGTCCTGGCTGTTCCATTGTTCCTAAGCGACGTTTTCATCCCCAAGTGTATGGTGTCAGTTGCTAGGTGTCCCTGAAGTCCATGTTTCTGACGATCACGCAGCCACTCCAGAAAGAACCGGCTGGTAGCAAGCAGTGGAACAGCCAGGCTGCCCCCAAGACGTACACCTTCGGGAGTTTGGACGTCACGGAGTTTGCGCGGAATCTCGAAAAGGTATGTATGCGCACGTCACGGAACTGTTTGTACGTATACACAAATGCACAGCCACAATGTCGCGCCACTACGGCGGCGCCATTGTTGCCACAGAACGCGCACGGACACCTCACTTCATGCGAATCTGGTTTCTGCTCAAGTGCCCACACCCGGTGCTGGCAAAAGCAGACATGTTTGTAAACGACGAAGGCCCATTCGCGCAGCCCCGTTTGCTTACGTCGCATCACATCACGAGAGCTTACATCCGCTAAACGTCGAGAGTCGCCGAGACATCCACGTGTCGTACGAAGCACGGATGTCTCGGCGGTTCGTAACGTGACATAAGGAAACGTGAGCAGGTGCACCCGTGTGAGTGGGCCTTGAGGCTGGTTTGCACATTGACGTCTTAACATGACCAAGCACGTCGCGGGCACTCGCGACCGCTTTCGACACGCTGGCACCGTCTGTTGGGTAGCCCTGGAAAAACCTCTCACGAGCGCAATAACCAGGGTGGTGGTTTTGCAGGAGTATTTGAGAGACCTAATCTACGTGCTAGCTACAAGAAATAGTCTCTCATAACGTCGTGAGAATTATTCCGAGCCCGTGGTCAAAATATGACGCATGAATAAAATTTGGAACTTCATTCCGATCAAAAGCATTCCAGGGCTGGCCGAGAGATGGTGTCAGCATCTTATCTCGTCGTAAGAGGTCACAAGCAGTCGGAATGCACTCAGTGTCACTCGAGTGAAAACGTGGACCTGCCTTTAGATCTTTGAATGGTGTGTATACGCCCACGTTGGAAAACTGCATAGACGTTGGCGACACTTGACACAAAGTGCACCCACATTTATCTGTCGCCCTGATATCCTGCTTGCCAGAATGAGCTGTGTCCATAAGGTGTCACACGAGGAATGTTTATTTTCAATGATAAGTGCACGACGTAACGAACAATAAGAAAACATTATGGCAAATGGCTAGGCATTTGTGTTGCCTGCGTGAAACGTTCTGGCGTCACAAACGTTTAGCGATACTCTGAGTTTTTGGACGCCTACATTCAAGGTGCACTTCATCAGATTGTTTAAAGCGTACCATGTGTACACTTGATAGTTGTTCCTAGAATGAAGTGATGCTACCGCTAATCGAGCTGATAAACCTGGTGATCTTCCAGAGCCTTCCACACTCCCAAGCTCCTCCCCTCCTACCTCACTCCTCCTCGCCTCTCCGTTAACCAATCAGCGTTGTGGGATTTTGCTAGCTACCAACACAGGTACCGATAGAGTAACCAAACGGTTGTCTCAACACTGGTGGCGATCTCAAAGGAGCCGTCCAAGCTAGTAGCGCGGTCCCCACATCTCCGCGGCAATGTAAACGACGTTTAGGGCCACATTACCGCGGGTCGGTTTGATAAATTACCTCCGTTGGTGCCAATGATCGACTACTTTGTCTCGCTCTTTCGAATATAGCGGAAGAGAAGACACACGTACCAGAGTAAGGACAGAGTCCAAGAGCATTTATTAGAACACTCTTAAAAAAACTACAATGTCCCCATCCAAAATGCCCCCCACGCCGGCAAGGTAAGAAAAGGTCCTTACCTGCCAGACGCGGGGTTCTGGAGAGCCAAGACCGGGGAAGCATCGGAGAAGTCGCCAACACACGTCCTATCTCTTTCGCGGTTACCGGACGAGTCTCCTTCCCAAAAGCGGGAAAACAAGAGGCGAAACCTCCTCGCCTGTCGGCAGTGATCCACATCCGAGCGGGGGAACGGAAATCGGTCCCCCTGAGAGAGAGTGAGAGGAGGGCCCCCCAAGACAGGGGATCCTCCGCCTCACGAGCAGGTCGGAGGTCACGGCGAAGGAGGCTGAGTGTTCCGACCCGCGGCCGTTATTGCAGCGATCGGGGAAGGGAGACCACAGGAATCTCCACAGCGCTGAGCACTTCACTCCTTCTCTCCCACCCGTCAGCCAATCGATGTTAAACCTCGCGACTAAGCTTTTATTCGGGCTCCATGAAATGCCGATCAAGCCATTGAACGTTTCATGATGAAAGTTGGCAGTTGTGCATAATACAGAAAACATGTCAAAAGGAACAGTACAGATTGATTCCATTGCCTCAAAGGTGTCATCTCTGAAAGCCGTCTTCAAAACTTCAAATATTCATGTTTGTAAAACCTTGTGCTGTGAGACTTCATGCTGTTCTTTCTTTTAAGTTATTTTCTTCACTGTATTCTGTGTGAACCTGCAGGCCGGGTTCACCGACGTCAAGGTGGAAAACACAAGTTCCGGAGTGATTGTGCATTTGGTAATGTCAGAATCCTCGCACCCTTCCGTGATTTTATACATAAATGTGCTAATGTCACAATTGCTCATGCTCTTTTTTTTCTTTTTTTGGCAGCCCAACGAAGACACCATTATACAAGTCGACGAACATTCCACACACGTGTTTTGCGAAGGAGACTACGCCGTGCGCACCCAACTAAGGGACTTGCTGCTCCAGAACCTCAGCAAATTCTGACCATCCACGCTAATAAACTAATAAATGTTGTATGTCATTGTATGTCGAGGCATTGTTGACTGCTTGGCCTATTACTACTTGAGACGTCAGCCCCCTCCTACACGCTTCCATGCTTGTCTACTGGGCTGTGAAATACGCTCTGAGCATGTGCAGTAGTTCTCAGTATCTCTCCTGCGGAATATCAGTGACTCAGCATTTTTCGCCAGGCTGATAAACGCTGGTAAGGTCTGCAGTAAAAGTGACTTGAGAATGCCGTTGTCCGATATTGATAGCGAAACCGAAACTGAACTTTTTTTTGGTGTAATATTCTGCTGTAGTCATAGTTGGTTTAGAGCTCATGATGCTTAAGATGCTTAAGGTGCAGATGGATTAGTGTAATTCAAGACTTGCGTACAAACCAAAAGTTATTCGAGTCGCGACCACGTAACTGGCGTAGACGTTCGAAACGGTTGGAAAAGTCCATCGCAGCCGCCATCGAAGCATGACGTCACTTCTCTCACGTGACTTCCTCAGGCGGGAGTCGGGCACATGAGACGGCGCCATTGTCCCCCTACTTGATGCGTGCTGAATTCAAGACAATCGCCTCACTTTTTCGGACCGTACCGTGCCCTAGGCGCGTGCAAAAGGACGCCGAAAGTCGTGTCACGCCGGACGCCAGCACAAACCGCACATCGTAGCACGTCCGACCGTTCTCCGCGTCACCGAGACCGTTTTGTGTGATGCCCCGCAGTGTTCACATTTCTTCCAAGATGGCCTCCCTACAGTCGTGCTGTGTGTGAGGTGGTGTGGGTACCGCGGTGGGGATATTCTGCCTTCGTGGACAGCAGTCCTTTATCGGGCGGACTCCTCTAGAACAATTGGGTGCTTTTTAGATCTCGGTTTCGCGTTCACGTTGGTAGCGAGTTTCTGGAGATGCAACGTATGAAAAGCCAAGGAAATTCAGGTGAGCGCTGTGCCTGTTGCCGACCCGTTGCCAAGGCGAATGTAACGCTGGTGGTGTTTTTTTGTTTTGTTTTTTAATTCGTGGAAGCGGTACTGAAGCTAGAACATACGGCGGTGCTCAATGGAACGCGATTCTTTTCGAGCGGCTATATTCTTCGTACGTTTAAAAGAAAACTAGCGTAGATTTACTCCCTTTCCATTTCACGTGCGCGCACCGGAGCTAGGCGAGCCGTCCCGTGTTGTTTATCTAAGCCTAAAAAGCAGCGATGTATTTTTTTGCTTGTGTACTTTGTACCCCGGCGACCTTTTGCGAGTAAACTTTAATTTTTGTTATTGGTTTCGCCTTGCCAGCGTGATTTCAGCACTCATCTCGGACAAAAACTAAGTAAAGAGGAAGCGGTAGAGCGATGCCCCCGAAATCCCGGTGTAGCTTTAAATGGCGAAGCAGAGTTTGCCCTCCTGCAAGCTTGCGTTCGCGACAATACTGATCAGCAATAATAGAAAGAAAGAAAAAGGAGGAGGGCCTGTTACTGCGCATCATCTTCAAGTTAGCAGCTGTTGTAAATAGCCGCGGTTGTTGGGGGCGCACTCACCGCGTTGTCATCGTGCGGAAACGCTCTTTCCGTTCCTTTTTTCGCGAAGCCTTTTCTTTATCGTGTACGCGGAGACGGGATCCGACGCAAACGGAACGGCGTGGGTGGAACCCTAGAGGAGCCTACATCGGTAGTTCGCCCACGTACCTCGAACCCACGACGCACGGTTTACGAGAACTTCGCGGCGTCGGGTTAGCTGAGCAGAAGAAAAAACGCATTCGCGTTTGAGGATGCTGAAAAACTGCGTTCAGTATTGAGTTTCTCCGGGTGGCGTTATTGATACGTTATTTATAACCTCCTGAAGTTCAGAAATATTTCCTTGGTAGCGTAGAACTTGTTCGGGAAGGTTACAACGGCGTGCAGGCAAGCCTGATGACACAAAACGAACACAAACGCATTGCCAACTTGGCTAGATCACACAAAATCTCGCATGTATTACTGGCATGGTCGTAGGTAGGTTCACACATAATAGCACTCTTGGTCATCACAATCCCTCATCTCTTTTTATTGCATTTTTTCACAAATAAACAGATAAGAGTATGCTGCATTGTATAAAAGTGCACCCAAACATGGAAGGTGCATTGACTTAACGCTTATTCGCGTCTCCAGCTTGACGCTCGCCCTCCCGCGGCGGAAACGGGAAGCGCTCTAGTGAGGGTCCCCCGATTCTCCTGCTCAGCGGGCATGGCGGAACTGCTCGCAATCATGGCTCGCGAAATGTCGTTTCCGAATGCAAACAGCACTCTTCACTGTCCCAACGTAGTGCTGCAGCCGGTATGGGATTGTGCCTTACTGGAGAGTGTTAGTATTGCGCATAGAAGCAAACGCAAGCGGTGTGCGTTTGCGTTAAAGTTGCGTGCCGCACGACGTGCGTGCGCCTCATCGCCATGCGCCATCCAAGACCGCAGTTTCGGGCTCCGCGCACGCGCAGTGTGGAACGCGCAAAGCTAACGCAAACACACAGGGCTTGAGTTCGCTCGTATACGCAATATTAAAACTCACTACTGTTTCACCGGCTTCCAACGCCAGCGAAACGTGCTGCAGTGAGCAGACGTGCAAGCAGGTAGGCGGTCCTTCGAACTGGAAAGGCTGAGATTGGCAAAACGACGGCGAGCAAATACAAAAGTAAATAAATGTTAAGAAAAAACTAGTAATTAAAAAAAGTCTTTTTTTTAACTTTTGGGCATTTGGTCTGGAAGTATATTGGTGGCGACTTTGGACGTTTCGCCGATTGTCGAAAGTCGCGACTTTGATAGCACAATATACTTTACCCATAATTAACGTAATTTTACATGGATTTCTCACATTAGCTAGAATGTTTTCATTGATTTTAGACTATTTTTATTTTATTTGTAATTAAAATGCAGCAATTGGAACCAGTGATGATAATTAGCACAGTTTTCATTGTCATATTTCTTCGCGCGTTTAAAATTAGATCATAAGCAACAAATTATATTAGAGCTTGAATAATCACTTATTCAAATATTCGAATTTTAATATTATTATTATAATACAAATTGCGGCAATGTATGCCTCTAATTAAAGCCAAGATCACGAGAATAATCTATTTAACCATAATAGTCTTTCCAGAAAGGTATAATTCTGTTTTCTTTTTAGCATATGAAAAACTCTTACATAGTTATCAAGATAGACAAACAGTTCAACGCTGGATGTAATATGAAGTCCTACGCGTCACGCGGTGCTATAAAACACACACACACACACACATTTCAGCAGTCTGACCCGGATTTCGTCTTGTGTTGTTGCAGTGAGAGCAAGCAGCGTTTATTAGTTTATGCGTTTCGTGGACATATTGTAAAAACTGGAATTATTCTCTTATTCTTGTACTGGATAATTGTCATTATTTCCCATGACAATTATCTGAGCGAGAAAAAGGCAGCGAGAACGCACAGATATCAGCACTGATTTTTTCAACAACGACGAATATCAGCCTGGATCGAACAGTATGTCACAAAATAAAGTTTCCGCGAACAACTTTTTTAAGTAAATAATTACGATGTGAGACACATCTTGAGTCATGAAAAAATCCGAAATTAAGACATCTGTCGAGAAATTAAATCCAAAATAGAGGTAAGTTTCGGTTTCGCTCCAGAATTAAAACGCGCATCCTTCCGTAATTAATACGCTAAACACCGTTCTTGTTTTCAGGTTAAAGAGGTGACCTGCGCTCATAAAACATTAGCTTCCTCGTATTACCAGAAATAATTTATGTCGCTCACCGAAGCCAGCACATTAGACAGACTCAACAGCGGCACGCATCTCTGACCCTCACTAAACCCGCCATCTTGGAAAATGAGTGGCGCCACCTATAGTTAGTTGGAGTCGCGAATACACAGCATTTTTAAACAAATTTACTTTTCTTGAGCAACAGGTTTGTTAGATTTTAAAATGAGTCCTGGGATGGTCTAGTGTCGGTCACTGGGACAGAAGAGCAGGCAGCAAAAAATTAGCTCAAACACGGGCAAACGGAACTCGCAGCCACTATTTGTCTTGCTTAAATCAGGGTACAGAAAAAACGTGTATGTGCGTGGAAAATTCTGTCGTCCCGTATCACCCGAGACTACCCCGCCTTCCACCTGCTGTTATCTTGACACGGTTCGTAGTGGGCGCATCTGCTGGGCCGTAGGTTTGGGTCCGCTCTGTAAGACCGTGTACAGTCGCAGGACGATGTTCGTAAAAAGGTCATTCAACGTAGGAGGGTATACAGGTTGGTGCGGTAGCGGCTTTAAGGACCTCGGTTGTTTGCCGAGTCGCGCTTTCAAGCATGATAACCGGCGAGGCAGCAGATAGTGCCAGTGACTCTCCACGCCTCACGACAGTAAAGGCCCTCCCCCGTAGATGGGAGTATTATGAAAGAGCTGTGGCGGCAAAGCCGAGAGCGAAGAATGGTTATGTAACTGACCTTTCAGGTTGCGCTGTTTTTGGAAACAAGTCTTTCTCAGTGCTTTAGACAAGCGACTCATTGATTCTAGTCCGTGGTGCTTTCTTTTGCTTTTTTCCTCTCTCCTTTTTGCGGAGCCTCGGCCAGTTGGCTTGAGCCTGAAGTTTTGCCGTGTCGGGTGCAGGGCTAGCTATACATGTGAGCCATCTGTCGGAAATCTCACGGGTACCTATAGACACCCATATAAACCAAATGTATTTTCGTTTTCTCAATTCTCTAGGGAATTTCATTTGGGTGCCTCTACATTATTCTTTGGGGTGATTCCACTTTTTGTTGCACCAGTGACGACCGCATGACATAGCAGGAAACGTGGGGAAATAGTCTGAACCAAAATAACGCCGTCACTCTGGTCAAAGAGCTGAAAGAGCTCCTGCCTGTGGTCCAGAGCAGGAAAGAAAGGCACATAATGGGACAGATGCATGCACATTAAAGGGAAGTTGGGGCGGTTCTGCATTAGAGAAAAAACACTTGAATTGTGTTCACTTGACATTTGATGAGTTGAGACTTAAAAGAAATGAGAAAAATGTGGTGTCTCTAGTCCGCTTTCGCACCGCATACTTAAAGCCAAAATAAAGTAAAATGAATTGGATCCTTGGATCAAGCGGTAATTTCTTGGAAATGCCAATTGGAATTAAGTGGGGATAAAGAAAACCAACTATTGGAACAGCCAGTGTAACGGTCTGGGAAAAGCCAACTAGTACTACAAGTACCCATGTGGTCGACTCGCAGTCCAGCTCCGCTACTAAGACACGAGCGTGCCTCACAGCAGGTCCGCCGGTCACTGTATGGCAACCATGAACCACACAGCCCCGTCGCAGTGATCAGTTTTATATCTCTCGTCTCCCCCGTGTGTTCACTTGACAGTTAGAATAACAGATATCACAATTGTTTCAATGCGACGCGCCGGAGAGCCATAAGAGCAATTTCAAAATAGGCCTGAAGCCCAATTCCCTAGCCTTGGACAGCCAAAAGATCCGTCATGATGTCACAAACAGCAACTGTCTTTCCCGTTTTTCCGCGTTTAACAATAATTGCGCAGCAAATGTTTTGGGTATTCGGGTTCACAGAGTAAAAATACACTAGAATTCACTTCTAACTTTTTTTTTTTTTTTTCAAAAAGCCTTGTAGCTTCCTTTTAAGGCAGCCTCATTGGGGACTTGCTGACTACTTGGTTTTATTTTAAAATGGACCGCGGCAGATGCTACGAGCCATCGAAACCAGTCCAGTGCCTTGCAAGTGTCGTGCGTTCTTCCAAGAGGGGTGAGTGACGCATGGGGCATGTACCTGCATTATACATTTACAGCGCCGGATTGGATGGGCGGGCTCGTAGAATCCACCGCAGTCCATCGTTAGGTGAAACGGAGTACAGTCTGTGCAAAGAGAGGTAATTCATAATCGCGGTAGACGGTTGGTTCCCCCCTCCCCTGCGTCGAGTTAACACTTGCTCTGCATGCCCCACCCCCCCCGACAGTGACGAACGGCCCCAAGGAAATGGTGAAGGATGAAGAGTTTGACTCGTGGCGCAACCAGAACCAGGCCCACTCGGCTCAGCAGCAGCAGCAGCAACAGCAGGCGCAGCAGCAGGCTCAGCAGCAAGCCCAGCAACAGCAGCAGCAGCAGACATACAACCCGCACCTGTCGACCTCCAACCTCGGAGAGCCCTACATCCCGAGCTACTATGCCTCCATGTCCTTCCCCTACCTGAACCAGGGGCTGGGTGATGGAGCTTGGAGCAATGGAGGCGACCCAATCAACTTCTTCGGCTCGTACAGCAGCCAGATGGGTGCCGGCGGGGAGCAGCCACCGCATTACGTGGATGGCGGCGCCGGCATGTTCAGCCAGAACAGCTTCGCCGGCTACGGGCAGGGCTTTGGCTTCTTCCCCGGCAGCGACTACTCAACATGGGGCACTGCACCGAGCTCTGGCCAGCAGCAGCAGCAAGCAGCGAGCAAGGCGTACCCCGACGAGTACTACCGCGGCTACGAGGAGACTGTGGACCGCGGCCTCAAGCATCTGGAGCAGGGCATACGGTCGTTGGCCCTTGGCGACAAAGACTTTCCTCCCAAGGAGGCATATGCCAAGGGCCTCGATGGCATGGGGGCCAAGAAGTTCCAGGGGGACAAGAAGATGTCGTGGGCCTCAGTGGCCAGCCAGCCGGCCAAGCCAAAGGTGCTGAAGAGCAAGTCCCCGCTGCTGCCACCGGCCCCCGGTGGCGGCGGCGGCAAGCACCCGATGGACATCGGCACCTGGGAGGGCAAGAACGGCGCTAAGCCGAGGGGAGGCGGTGCGCCGTGGACCGGGGTGGCCCCGGCGTCGGCACCTTGCGACGGGAGCTACGCACCGACACACCCGGTGCTGGAGAAGCTGCGCCTGGAGAACAACTACAACCCCAAGGAGTTTGACCTGGAGCCCAAGGGGGCACGCTACTTCATCATCAAGAGCTACTCGGAGGACGACATCCACCGGTCCATCAAGTACTCCATCTGGTGCTCGACGGAGCACGGCAACAAGCGTCTGGACGCGGCCTACCGGGACGTCCAGGGGCCCGTGCTGCTGTTCTTCAGCGTGAACGGCTCGGGCCACTTCTGTGGCATGGCGGAGATGGTGTCGCCCGTGGACTACTCGGCCTCTTCCTCGGTCTGGGCACAGGACAAGTGGAAGGGCCAGTTCCGGGTGCGCTGGGTGTACGTGAAGGACGTGCCGAACTCGCAGCTGCGGCACATCCGGCTGGAGAACAACGAGAACAAGCCCGTGACCAACTCAAGAGACACGCAGGAGGTGCCCCCGGAGAAGGGCCGCCAGGTGCTCAAGATCCTGCACGGCTTCCGACATACCACGTCCATCTTCGACGACTTCCTGCACTACGAGAAGCGCCAGGAGGAGGACGAGCAGAGGGACTTCCCCACCGTGCCTCTGGCCCCGCCCCCGCCCCAGCAGCAGGGTGCGCATATCACACCCTGTGTGACTGCTCCCTCCCCAAGTCCTCATGATTACTCCCCTTTTGCTTTCTACTCCCTTTTGAGTCCCCCCCCCCCCCCCCCCTCCCTCCTTGCTTTCTGTTCCCTTTTGAGTCCTTGTGATTAGTCACTTTTTTTTACTTTCAAGTGCTTGTGATAAGTCTGTTTATGAGTCCTTGTGACGATTCTCCCTCCCTTTTTGCTCTTTTATTACCCTTCCCCATTTACCATGTGTTTTGTTTTTCTTCCGCTTTATCAAATTAGGGATTTCTCTTTATCCCCTTTTTCTGTCTGCTTATTTATTTACAAATACTTTTTCTCCTTCCAAAATAGCCTTGTTTCACTTATGCTTTTATTTACTTGTGCAGTGTCTCCTGTTTTGCTCCCTTGTATTCCCCCTTCTCTTTACATTCTATTTATTTTTGTTTGCAGCATGCAATTGTTTTTATTCTCCTCTTTTCCTTTGTTTCTACACCATCAATTTGAGGATGCCTGTATCCTTGTTTTCTGGGCATTTTGTTTTCACTTTTGTTTTACACTTGTTTTTTTCTTTCTTTTAGTGATAGGTATGTGCTTGCAGAGAGAAATTAGCAGTCACTTGCAGTGTTAGTCTCTTTTGTCGCAAGGTTTAAGAATGCCCATTATGTCGCTGTGTTTGAATGAGGTGACGACGCGACACGGTTGGCCTTAATGCAACATTTGCTCTTTGTTGCAGTTTACTTGTAAGGTGTAGCTTCAGACACCACACATCACCACCCAAGTTCGTTATGTGCCTGACTTCCAGACCAGCCATTGCATGTTCGAGCATGCTGCGCCACTCTCTACACCAGTGATACATAGGTTGAACGTGACTGGGGCTTCCACACCATACCATTAATACCCCATAGCAGTTCTCAAGCGAATCATTGTTCGCCAAAGAAAGAGATAGGCCTGTCTGTTCGCAACACATCATAATCTGCGTTTTTCCAAGGGACTACTTTATGGCACGAAACAGGATTATCTGTTCATCTTGATACTGGCTGCAGTTGTATTGTTTGAGTATATAGGAATTCAAGCATTTTGCTATAACAAGGACGTAGTAGTTGTAAAGTACATTGATGGTACAAAACACAGCTTCTGGTACAGGTCTTGTTGAAGAACATTCTGGTTTCTTTTATTACCAGGTAACATGTACATGTGTATGTGTAATGATTATGTGACATTGGTCACTGGTTCACAATGAGGAGACCTGAGCTAGTTAAATGACTTAGCAGTTGAGGTTGTGTGTGAACAGAGGACAGCTCTAAAGCTCTAGCTTATCCTGTAACTCCAGTTTATGCAGTTTCAGTTGGTGGCGACTTGTTTGTATGGGCAATCTTATTCCCTACCTAGACTGTCTTGTGTAATTATGTGACCAACCGGGCAAGCCATACAGTTAGTACCATCATTCGGCCTTGGTGAAAACCATTCAGTTCAGATGCAATTCGGTTCTCCGAGCATTGGAAATAAAAGGGGACTGTAGCTTTGTTTAGTCATATAACCGCCTCAATGTCTAAGCAGGTTCCCTTGCATACAAACCATCTGCACCCTTTTGTGTCTTGATCTGTATTTGACCTTGAAAAGCGTGGGTCACATGCACAACATAAAAATCCTAGTCATCATTGGATCCCGGAAAAAGAATGACCGATTGGCAGCAGCATATAATGAAATTAAATGCCATGGGGGGGGGGGGGACCAACAAAAGAGCGCGGCAGAGTGCCACCAATCTGTTGCACATCAGATATGTGGTCACAGTACATGATTTCGATGCCTTGCAACATTAGATTTCCACCAGATGTTTTTGTCTCCTGTGCTTTTCTGATGAGTCCTCGTAACAAGAATCCCAAAATAACATTGGAATACAAGCTGACACAACGGGCTGCTAGGAAAGTGTCATTCCCATGGTGGCTTTTCAAGCGGTGGCATGTGCAGCATGTGCAAGTGGGAATGGAGCTGCACAGTCTACTATGCAAGCACAGTGGCAGTCTTAGACACTGATTGAGTTCTTGTTTTATGTCCTAAGTGTTGCGTTTTTTATATGATACAAGATGCACGAATCACCTATCAAGAGCCGACTTTCCTTGTGTCTAGTTTAATTGTTAAGTGCCCATACACTTCGAATAATGCCCTACAGTATGGCCCGCTTGTGACATGATGTAGCAGACGTGTAGAGAAACCATTACATTTGGAGTAAATGATAACCATCTTTTTCTTACCACTGATGCAAGGAGATTGTAAGAGGTTTGCAGAGTTTTTGAAGGAAACAAACCTTTCACTCCCGACCTTGCTTCTTTCCATGGCAGAGCCGGGGCTTTTGTCGAACTTGGACCATTTAAAAGTGCCGGAACCCATGAAAGAAAACAAGGTAATGCATAACCCCAATGGCGGCACTCTTTTTATTCAATTTTTATATTTTAAGAGTTTTTGTAATGTGGGTGTATCTGTCTGGTTCAGCAGATGCAGATGCCAAGCAGTAACCACCACATGCAATCGAGGTACCACCACCAGCAGGCATGGTGAGTGCACACCTGGGTCGGAGTTGTTTCATTTCAGCAAAACCTAAAACCCTAAGGTAAGACGTAATTCATTCAAATCCAGATATTTGGATTCTGCAATTTCTGGGCAGTACAGCAAAAAAGGTGTGGCCATTGCCCACTCATCTTTGGCATGAGTGTTCCACTCCTTTATTATTTTTTTTGTTACAAAAATTAGCTCTTTCTGCAGATCTCTCCCTCTTTTAATAATGCACTTTACCTTTTTTTCTTTCTTTTTTTTTTGCACATGCGGCTTAGGTTTTACTTGTCTCCACAATTGGTTGCCATCCTTAAAAATGTGTGCGATAACAAGCACATGCTGCCATCTCTGAGCAGCTGTCTTTGCAAACGGGGATAGATTCTCCTGGATTTCCCGCGCGCTAAAAATAATCTGTCTACAAATGCAAAGCAGTCGGGCCCGGAGCAGGTTACAGGTGACAGAGATGTTGATGTGCGTTAGAAAAAGGAGCATGTTGTTATTTAAAAGTTGCTGAAACCTCAACTTACGAAGCTTTGTAGAGGGCGAGCACGTTTTGAGCACCGTCCACGTCACTGTTTGTGGCAAAATATTTTTGAGGGTGATGAAGATATTGTGGTGTCATTATACCGTGATATGAGTGCTTTATAAAGTTAGCTGGGCACGATAACTCAAACTCCGGAAGAGTAGCGCTCACAGTATTGATGTTTTCATGCCATAGGCTCACAACTCGCTGCTCTCCGTCACTTTTTTAGCGTATTGCAACATGTGGTCAAACTGCGCTATGGTTATTGATGGGAAGTTTTAAGATAACGTGACCGCAGGCTACCGCACGGTGCAGCATTGCAACTGGAAGCGTTATGTCTTTGCCATGTAATGTGCACTCCGGAGAGAAATCTTTCTCGTGTGAATACCGCCCTAACGTGGGACCAGTGCCCCAGAGACTGTTGTCAATGGATGTTCGGCGCCGCGACTCACCCCGCGCACCCTCTCTGCAGGTAAGGCAGGTTCGCAGTCCCGAGGCCCCGGCATCCCTCGAAACCTTCCCCCGGTGTTGCCTCCCTCCCTACCTTCCTCCCGTCGTCGCGGCGGCACCCAGACATCGCTGCGGGGGACGCTTCGCCACGAGTGTCGTCGGCCTCCGTGTGGTTCTGCCGTGCGTGTGTGTGCGTGTGCGCGTGTGTTTGGTGTGCCCTCCCACCTGCCCGCCGTCGGGACGCGGGGCCTGCCCCCTCCGTTCGTGTTTCCTACGAGGGGCCTTCCCTTCTCCCTTGCCCAATTCTGCCGGGTCCGTTCGTCGAAAGGAGGGGGTCGCAGCAACGGGTTAGGAGAAAAGGGATTCGGGGATCGACGCATTGCCATCCTGAGCCGACGGGCTTGCTTTCTTTCTCTTTTTCTTCTCCGCGTCGCTGCGAACTTTCGCCCGTGTCGCTTGCCGTATTTTCCCGTCGCTGTCTCTCTCTCTCTCTCTTTCGCTACCTTAACGGTTCTTTTCCGCCGCTGGAGGCTAGGTTCTTTACGCCGGTATCGTGTGGGGGGAGGGGGTGGGGAGGGTTAAGGAGACTTGTAGGTGGGGGTTCAAGGGTAGGGATCAGCAGGGGTTGCTTTTGGGTCGCGCTTGGCTTGGCTTTCTTCCATGAAGCAGTTTCTTTTCCCTCGAGGACCGTTTTTTTGCTTTCTCCGTCTGTTGTGTTCGGTGGGAGGGGTTAGGTTAAGCGTCGCCAGCCGCCAATTGTTTAGTAGAGGAATAAAAAAAAAAAAAAAACGACGACGACGGAACGGACAGGTCAGATAACGGCTTAGAAGAAGAAAAAAAAAACGGGCGCGGGTTGACCATTGGACGGCAAAAGGAAAAATGGCTTTTTCTCACCTCCTTCGTGTTACGGCACTTTAAAAGACTGCTGGTTGGAATTGGGGGACTTCTTTAGGACTCGTTTAACGGTTGAAATAAGGGGGGGGGGGGGGGAAAGCAAAAACCAAGACACACAAAATGCAACAAGCGATACAAAGAGACTTTAAAAAAAATATGTTACAAAAGGCAAAAAAAGGACACGCTGGACTCGACGACGGACGAAAGGCACACGCCGCCCCGGGAAGCAAACGACATGGCTGCGGTTGTCTTCGTAAATGTACATGTTGTGTGCGCGCTTTCGGTCGGTGGTGTGCAGACTCGGAAAGAACACTGTGCTTGTTGCCCGACCGCCGCGAGAAGGTGGTCGGGTTTAGGGGACAATGTGGAATTACCTATTTCTCTGGACTGGATTATTCCGTTTTATTTTATTTTTTTTTTTTCCTCCGTCTGTTAAAACAGGATTCATTGTTGGACTGAGCGAGCTTTTCTTCTTTTTTTTTTTTTTTTTTTTTTTTTTTTTTTGTGTAGTTATTACTATTATTGGTTCCTCTGGAAGGTTTCTTGGGGGGGACTTGGAAATGTTTTGAGCAGTTAGTGTTGACACTAAGGCAAGTTAAAAGCTAAAAAAAAAAGTTTGAGTGGGAGAATAAAATGAACGTTCACCTTGTCAACACATGTTGCTGGCAAGACGTGTTATTAGCTCTGTGTTTTTGCGTAATCACCCAGGTGGGAGGGTTAGGGGGCATCTGGGGTGACATTTTTCAAACTGACTGCTGCAAAGTTTAGGGGTATACTGGGGAGGGGGTTTGGCAGAAAAAAAAAAGATTGATGCGCTCGTTACTTGTGGGGTCTATGGCATCCTTTTTTTTGTTGTTGTTAACTTTGCCAATAAACACAGCACGAAAGAATACACAGAAGAAAAAAAAAAAGATGTGCGTAACAAAATTTGTGTGGTGTTGTTTCTAGGACGATTCCCTCTCAGGTAAGTTCGGATCTGGATGCATTTATTGCAAAAGTGGTCTGGTTGCCTTTCTCTTGCTTAACTGACGATAGCATTTGTTCCGAATCAAATTTGCCGATGTGAGTAATGTGGTCTGATCAGGGTAGAGGACATAGAAAGGGGTGTGACAGGGATATACAACACCATGTTCTGGAAGAAGGGGACTGCCATACCTGGTTTTACACTGGTGTATAGTAAAGTGTCGGCATGGCTGTGGTGTTGAGTAGGAAGACATTTTGATACATTTGAATTGCGTCTATTGGCCTGCTGAGGTACGAAGAGGTTGGTGGTAGCGCGCTGAAGCCATGTTTTCTACTTGTTCGTCGTCATTCGCCGAAGAAGTTTCTTAAACCCCTGTGAAAACGGTGAAAGTTTCCTTTGAGAACACATGAAAAGTTTTATGAAAGCGCAGCGCTGTAGGAGAAAGCACAACTCGTTGAAAGCATGTTTCACCGGTCTCGGCGTAACCAAAGCTTCCTTGGCACTCCGAAGTACCAAGTCTCTGTGCCTTTGCATGCTTGGATACCGATCAAGAATCGACGCCGTGTGGACGTGTTTCGCTAGTGCTATGTGCTTCTCGAACAGCAATTTACTTCACTCTGGTGACTGTATTTGTAACTTGTAGCACTCATAATCCAGAAACGAGCTTGACTGTGTCCGGTGGTGTCAGAAGGGAGGGTGGCAGCACATTTTTTTGTCATACTTTTGTTTTTGGAAACCTTCCTTGCTCCGCAGCGTTGCCCTATCTGTGCTGCCACGTAATTCATTAGAGTAGATTTGGAACATAGCCATGGGTAATATGCACACTTTTGCCTTTGAAGACCTTCTTTACTTAACAGCATCACTCTATTTGTGCTGCCATGTGATTCATTAGAGTAGATTTGGAACAGCCATGGTTAATAGTGCATAATAGCAACTGCACAGATTTTTTTTTCCCCCTTTATTGATCACAACTCGCTGGAACAGCTGGACAATCCAGAACTCCGTGGCCAATATATGGTGCAGACGCACCTTCAAAATGCACGACGCACCTTCAAAACTTTGGTGCGGCATCAATTCCTGATGGTATCTAAGGGCACGAAGGCACAGATTCGGCACTTTGGCGTACCAAAGAAGCTTTGATCACGCTGCGAGACTGGCGAAATTTGCTTTCAACGAGTTGTGCCTTTTTCCTGTGGCACTACACTTTCGTAAAAATTTACACAGGGTCTTAAAACTTCTTTGGCGAATAAAGACAAACGAGTAGAAACCGTCTTTTCAGCACGCTGCCGCCAGCCTGTGCAACGCTCCAAAAACACTAATTTGCTGCATGCAAAATGGCCACCCGGTGGCCACCAAAAACGTCCCTGGGTGGCCGCACTCGCGGAGCGGGGAAGCGCAATCCAGCAATGGTCGGAGAGTTCAGTGACCCAGAACCATTTGTAGGGGAGTTTGGCCAGCTGGCGTGGCCTCACTGACAGCTCGTCAACTACGTCACTGACACGCCATGTGTGTCGGTGACGTGGCCATTTTGCCCTCTTCGAGTCCAAGTGACGCGGGGACCTATGCCCGTATGCTTGGCTCTCAGTATCCTTCACCGCATGACTGTTTTATTGGGTTTTAAGTCATCCACTAGCAGTATTTAAGCTGTGTCATGTTTCTTCAGCAGCTATATTAAGGTAGTTCCCGGTTACCTTCTCTATTCTCCGTTTCTATTCGCTGCGTCACCAGCTCGTTCATACAATTCGCAAATGTTTGATGCATCACACAAATTACGCTCACGTAAATTTTGCATTTCAGTTCTAGTTGACGCCTCTTGTTATTTTAGCAGTGCACAACGATAACTTATAACTCGCAGCTGATGGGCTTTCCGTAAAGTGTTCTGATAAGCGAGCGTAGAGAATGACATCGTTGCCCATGTTTTCGAAGAAAATAAAGTGAGGTAAAACCCTTCGTACAAGAGTTTCCCAGAGTTTTGTGTCTTCCTAATTGCATTTCCTCTTGACTATGCAACAATGTGTCGAACGAGATGGCTTGATTGTAGTGATCGCTACTCCAGATATTAGATGGCCACACCGTACATGCTTACTGCATACCTCCACCAAACACACTCGGCAATGAAACGGCGATCTCGTTCTTCTAATATCTATAAAGCCGGAAGGTTACAAAAAAAGTATTAGAATGCATCAAATAATAAATTAATTCATTTTGTAGTCTGGAGAAGAAGGCAGGAGGAAAACGCATCACTGATGGGACGTCCCTGTCTCCTGCTGCAATCCATTGCATGTGAGCTTTGTGTAGCAAGTAGTTTGCTAGTTTTTATAACCTCCACTTTATAAAAAAACTTAACAAGCATTCTTACCTCACAAAAACTGGAGTCTTCTGTGGGCATCCACAATTGTGGCGCTTGATTTCATTCAACGTTATTTTGCGACTTCTCTTTTTCTCTTTTAGACGCGTAAAAAGAAACGAAAACAGTGGCTGCTGTGATTGGAACATCCAATCGAACAACATCCAACCTTTTTATCACCATAAAAATAAAAATAAGGGTATGTATGCAGGGTACCATGCGGACCTGCATGCGCACGTTGGCTTGAGATCGGTAATGGATGAGTGGCTCAAGCCGTCCCCCAGGCGTTTCCCGTTGTTAGGTGCTTGCTAGGCCTGACGTCAATTCTATGGGAGGAGCGAAGGTTCTCCTATAGACCGTTTTATCATAGGTAGTACCTTTTTGAGAGCGAGAGAGAAGAGGGGAAAGGGCTATTGGTGCTTTCCCCCTTGCTGGTACGTTGGAAAGGAAGTCCCGGATGAGAGGGTTCACCGGTGTTGGGTGTATGCATTGCCCGAACTTTGTTCCCTGTAATATTTTTGTTTTGCGCGTCCTTGTTCACATTATATTTCATGGTTGTAGACGACACGAAACGCCAAAAACATTCTCGGTGTACTGCATCTATAATGACAAAAAACCTAAAGGGAAATTCAATCGCTGTCAAATGATACCATATTTGGAGTGCTTGCCTCCAATTTCCATCGGTGGCGTGTTCAGTGCCGCACTTCTGGCGTTGCCGCACTGGTGGATGCCATAATGCGGGGCAATAAACATTCTCAATGAGTTGAGAAATGTTATCTGCGGCACGCAAGAGCACAAGACGTGCCCTAAGTTGGATACCCAGCACTTTGGAGCACCCAACTAGCACACCCAACGCGAGAGCGGCGCCCAGGAGAGTACTTTCGCCAACGTTTCTAACCACTCGGCAAGGCCGCGGAACCTGATGCTCGCTGGATGGCGCTACATTATTCAAAATGGTGCTACCCATGATAAAACGGTAGACCGTTTTATCATGGAGCGATCGAAGGCAGCTCACTCCGGCTTGAAGGTGTTTATAAACGCTTCCTTTTAGGATCCCGTGTCTTTTGTTGGGAACAGAAAACAGCAAAGTAAAGATGGGCCTATTGCCAAAGTGAGTAATTCAATGATTTGAAATCGATTGAGCATGTTTCAACTTTCAGCAACAGAAATCAAAGTTTTTTTTCCAGCTACATTATGCACTAATTTTGAAAATAAGAAGAATCTAGTCGGCATTGTGACGGTCAACATAGGTTCACGGCTCTCTGGTATCGTGCAGGAGATTGCGATTCAGGAAAACCGATTGAACTAACTTTTCAACGATTTCCAGCCACACCCGGCGGCGGAAATGAGCCTTCAAGTAAGTGTTATAGATGATAAAATCGAGTCAGTGTCGCTGCTTCAAAATATCGATAGTAAATTAAATTCAGTCAAAAAGTTACAAGCTGAAACAGCAATCATCACGAGAAAACTTGCATGCACCTTGCAAGCGTACCCCATGTTCATCAACGGAACAGCGTTAAGTGTGCGTTCCATTCACAAAATGTTCCGAGCACAGTCTACACGGCGTAGGGAAAAAGTCTTTTCAATTTACGGACGCAACCCACTG